AAAGGCTTATAATCTCATTCAAGCCCAGTAAATTAAAACTGATAACAGTGTTATTCTCTCATTTCTTAATGAACTAATGGCCGAAAAGGGCAAAACCCCCCATTTCCACTATTCCAAACATGGAACTCAACAAGGAAAAAATTGAGTTCTGTGGCTCTCAGGTGCAAAAGAAACTGGACTTCAATCTCAGATGCTTAAGTTAGTATCATGTTGCTGGAACTTCCCATGTTTCATAAAAGTCCCAAAGCTGCAGATTTAAAAAAAAGAAAAAGAAAAAGAAAGTATTCATTTAGGGTTGCAAACTGTAGAGGGTGTTTTCCATGTGATTTTTAAAATCCTGCCACAAACTGTAAAGTTCTGTGTTTCACACTGTAAAAAAGAAACATAAAGAAACAAAACAAAATAATATTATAAAATCACATTAATCGGAATCAAAATTTTGGTATATATATGTTCTCTTCCATGTTTGGATATATTGTTGAGTGAGGTTTTTGCTATTTTTGATTTTGGGGTTGGTTTTTGTTTATTTTAATTATAATCTGTGCAAAAATAATTACTTCTTAATTGGAAGGCACATTGTCCTCAATCATTTCAAATATATGTTTGATATATATATATATATATATATATATATATATGATGAACATTAATTTTGGTTTAAATGTGTATTTATATAAATTACTATGTCAATATGATTTTTAATCATCTTAAAAATATATAAAAGATTGATTTTTTTTTTTAAATTCAAAATCTTAAATCATTTATAAGAATTATTTTTAAAAATTTATTTACAATCCTACATGCATCTCTAAGTATAATTTTTTTTAAATTATGTACTTACTAGACATTCTAGCTAGATAACATTGTATTATAGATTTGTTACATCTTATCTACCATCAATTAAAAAAAAAAAAAAAAAAAAAAATCACTAACTTTGTATGAAGTTGATAAATTATCTTGCTATAACATTGGTAGTTTGGTATTTTAAATTTCTAACAATATTATCAACTTGCTTTAAGTTTATAAAATTTAAAAATAGTTTTATATTTGAATTATGTATATATGATGCTTTCAATATTTCAATATGGATACTTGCAATATATATATATATATATATATATATATATTAAAAAAAATTAATTTAATCATATAGAAGTATAATTATATAGAATTGAGTTTATCACTTGCATTAAGAATGAGACTATCCATGCTATGAAAAATTTTTTTCTTATTTGTTTTTTTAATTTTTTAATTCTATTTTTATTTTGATATATAATTATGTATTTATGTATAAATACTATCAAATTTAGTACCTACAAAAGTAATAGCTAGTAAATTATTAGACAAACATAGATTATCTCTAAAATCCTTTGCTTCAAAGCTAATACCATCAATTAATTAGTACAATAGTTTAGGTAATGAGTTATAGCAAAGAACAGTGATATTCTCATCTAAGCAACAAGCAAAGAAACGTGGATTAACTTGGAACATTGCAAATATTTCTTGATCAATTTAATAAAAACCAATGCTTGCATGACATGAGAAATTCAGTATTTAAGATTGTAACACATATTTCTAACCCATCCAATAATTAGTTTTTATAACATGTTTGTTTATTTTTAACTAACATACCTGCTACATGATGCACAATTTTTCTAAAGAAATTCTACATGTCTTTGATTACTTTGACTGTCAATTGTATTGAAACATTGTACAATAGCAATAAAAGGTTTTTTTTAAAAAAAATAATTTGAATTTAACTTTTTCAAATAGTTTTATTTTCTAAATGGAAACACAACACCTCCTCTTATATTTAACAATGTAATTCCATTCCACCTATATAAATATATATACAAAAAAAACCAATTAATATTTACATTTGACATCATAATGTAATTTCTTTAAAAATATATTTTAATTTTTTATATGCAAAATACAAAATAAATTGTAAAAACCAAAAATAAAAAAAAAAAACAAAAAACAACAACAACAACAACAACAACAATGCTTGTATAACATTTCATTGTTGAATATATGATTTAGATTTAAATTTTGCAATGTTTCACTTGTTGACAATAAATTGATGTACAAAGGCCTAATTCAAAATATAATCTTAATTATTTGATAATGGCCATACATTGACTTACTACAAAAGAATTTATTGATCACAAACCATCTTTGGAATTGCATTTGGCATTGCAAACAACTACTTAGCAGTGCATATAATTGATAAATTTAAAAAATTTACTTAGTGTCTTGATAAAAATTCAATTGTTACACACACATGTGACACTGTGTTTTATACATACACACGTACATACATGCAATGATGTTTTAGAAGATTAAAATATTTTCTAAACTCTCCAGTCTTCTTAACACGAGATATTTTTGGAGGAAAAAAATTAATCAAAACAAAAATAATCAATTATTTAGAGTAAAATCAAATAATAAGTTTTTACTATCAAGAAAGAATAAGATTTATTTGCTTTCATGAAATCATTTGTACTTAGCTGGTTTAAATAGTTTTTTATATTTTTACTTTAAATAGATTTTAAAATTAAATATATTTAATATATGTTTGGAATCAATCTTCATCATTTTAATATATATAAATGTGCACATACATTTTTTATTTTTTAAAATAATACATACATTTTTAGTATTTATACATATATATATATATATATATATATATATAGAAATTTACTCAAATTTAATTGATCATCATCTAGCATTTTGACAGAAAAAACCTAGTTGGTACCTCAGTAAGCACATGGACAAAAATACTAATCTTTGTTCAATACCACCTGGTGCCTATGGGCATTGAGCCTGTAGCAAGTGGTGCAAAACAAAAATAAATATAAAACATGTGAGATTTAGTGGCAAAAACATCAAATAGTAGGGCTAGTGAACTAGGGTATCATTAAATATTGGTGGCATCCAAGTGGTTCTGGGGTTGAATCTGGATGACTATGGAAGAGGGGCTGTTTTTTTTGCAATAGCAAAGTTTTTCCCTTCTTTGTATTTTGCTTCTTCTCATGCATTTGCCATAGTTCTCCCCCAGTCAAGACTTCCTTGGTCTATGCTCCCCATGGCCCTTAGTTTCCAATCTTAGTAAGACAGTGCATTCATGTATACAAAATATTTACACATTTTTTTTTTTTTTTTTTTTTTTTGAGATCTATTCATGGATAAAGAATAAATAAATAAAAATCACTGTGGTACAAGCAGGGTACCTTTTCTAACCCAACATCATCCAATGTCTCAACACGCTGGAATCAAATGCCAAAATTTTCCATTTCTTTTCATTGATCAAACTTTCCTAGTGAATCTTTTGAATCTCTGCATTCAATTACTTGCAAACAAACTAGATCCGCTACACCATTTTTCGTACCACTGCTTTGAATGCCAACTGAAGTATTTCTTCTTCTTCTAATTCCAACAAACGTTTTTTTTTCCTAATACTTCCTATGCCCACCCAAAGCACTTCGACAAATTTATTGTCAGGCTAGCTACCAACCAAATGTTACTATTTGTAACACCAACTCAGCCAACTTCAAACCCTAAAATAGACAAACCCAAATTCCGTGACAGCTGGGCAAATGTCAAATACCATCAATGTTTGCTGCAACCTCAAGGAGGGATTATCCCTAAGGATGCATGCAATATCTCCCAAAGGTGCCGACTCTAGGGTCGGGAGTAGTTTGCGTGACTATCGCGGGTTCGAACTACTTTGATCGCCACCCTCGTTGCCTGATGGATTGTGTAACTCCCCATCCGCATCATGAATTGGGTCTGCTGGCGGGCTACAGTGAGACAAAGTGCTATCGTCGCGACACTGGAACAACGGGTGCCACTGGCACACCAAAAATGGGAGTTTTTGAGTTGCCGATTTCGTTTGATATGCGGGCATGTGGTCCGGAATCACCGTCCAGTCAAAAGGAAGGGTCGAGAAACGTTTGTTGGTCTGAAGAGCACCATCTTTTAATTCATGTTCCTCCTCCCGAGTGTGTTAACAGTTGCTGGGTTTTAAAATTAGGGAGCTAATCTTTCGAAGAGCCACAGCACACGAGAACCAGTAATAAACTGCGAGGGGCGGGGAGGATCCTCGTGAAGAAGAAGAATACTGAGCAGAAGTTGTAAATTTGTTGCACGACAGTTTTTTCAATGCTTTCAGGAATGAACAGCGTGTTTGATAGGGTGTGATGTCAAGCAAACCATGGAGGTGGATATTTGTACTGCACTCCGAATCCTCAGTGTGCGAGACTGGTCTAAATAGGGTTGCAGCACGGTGTCAATGAGAAGGTAGGAAGTCGTTGCCTCAGGATTAAAGTCAACAAATCTGGATTAGTAAAATCAAGCTCCAAATCTTCCTAATTTTTGTCGATGCGTGCCAACAGTGCTTGCTGCGTGGCTTTCAACTTGACGCTGTACAACTCTCTACGGCTGAAGCGTCCGACGAAATCCCGTGTGGTAAAAGTAACAGCGTCAGGGTTTCGAGATTTGTTGACCAGTCTCCGACTCCTTTCCGCGTAAAAGTAACAGCGTCAGGGTTTCGAGATTTGTTGACTAGTCTCCGACTCCTTTCCGCGTAAAAGTAACAGCGTCAGGGTTTCGAGATTTGTTGACTAGTCTCGGACTCCTCTCCGCGTGGGTATATATAAAACACACACAATCGGTATTACAAAACACACACAAAGGCAAAGAGTATTCCATCGAAAAGAATGAGGCGATGAGATACTCTTTGTTTACTAATTTCAAAAACCTTTTCTAATACACTCAAAAGCTAGATGTAAAAAATAACCTCCTTGGGGTGTGAAAATTTACTGCACCTGCAAGTCATCGTGACCACACTCGGAGCTGGGTCCTAACTATATCCGAATCCACGTGTCCGGGACGAATTGACGAGGATTGCCGTGGATTGAATGAGCACAGTATCGTCATCGCACGACCAGCTACCTGATACAGGATGTGGTGCAGCACAAGTTCAAAACAGTGCAGCGGCAAAATCTTAAGGCCAAATGGGGGTACCCCAAGAGCCCACCATCACCACGAGGGAGGAGGAAGAGAAGGACAAGTGGGTCATCGAATCTAAACCTCATAGCAGCAGCAGCCCCACCGCCGCCCGTATCGCGTCGTCTCCGCGCGTACCTGTTCGCACCCCAGCCCGCAAGGCCCGCGTCTTGCCACACCAAGAGGTTTTTGGGAATGTTTCGGGGTCTTGCTTTGTCTCGCACACTCGCTTGCCGGCGGATTGCTAGACCTGCCCAATCTTCTGCCTATGTCCTCGTTAGGAGGTGGCATAGCAGCTGCACCGGATCGCATACCGGTAGCGACGAGCTTCTCCTCTAGATTATGGCCAAGTCTGACACCTCGAACTGGGATCCGGTATACTAGGATCGGTCCGGAGGCCGGACCCTCCCCCGATCGGGTGTCGCTGATGTTTTGATCTGGGCCGAGTGAGGTGAGTTTCTTACGCGTGAAACTAGGGGGATCGTGTGCTTCTGGGGTTTCGTGAATGGGAGGGTGTATTGCGAAGGAGAGATTTGGACGTCTGTATGCTCGTGGAAATGGCTAGCAGCGGCTATGTCTGTTTTCGTGGAAGGATAGTGAAGTTTGAAGGGTTTTGTTTTGTTTTGGTTTTGGTTTTTTTTCGTTTGCTATTTTTTTAATAGAAAGTACATGTGGAGTGTTAGCTTGAACGAATTATGATCGTAGCTTGCTGGCAGCAGCGGGGCGGCTAGGATGTGAAACAATCGGTCTCAGTACGATTTCCAATGTTGACTCCGTTTGTCCAGTGAGGGCTTCGGAAGTGCAGCCCTCGGGTTTTGTCGTGAAATTTAGGTGGTATTCGACTGCCCTTGACTCATTTTTCGTGAAGCATTGCCATTACACATCCTCTTCTTGCGTGCATCTGTATCCAAACCCAGCATTAAGGTGTTCCTCGGGTGCAGAGAGCCTGTTTGGCCAGATTTGTAAAAGACCGCGCAACTTCGATTCGTTTCCCTGTAGATTGGAAAGTATTTACAGGTTTTCAGAAAGACTGAACTTCTTGCAATTTTCGACGAATTTGTTGAGGAGCGCTGGCACTGGCTGCGTCTTATGGCTGAATAGCATTAGTAGTCTTTTTCCGAAGGGGCCTTTGCAAGGACCTCACCTCAGCAGACAAGGATGACATCATCTGAGCCTTGCCATGAGAAAAAGCCCTGAAATTTTGTTCACAGCTAGCGGCTGTATTGGGCAACCTGTCCTATTGCTGGGTTAGAGCGAGATCTAAATTTTATTGGAGTCTCTAGTAGGTGTCTAAAATTTGCACCAGATTGTACTCAGGATTGTAAACTTCATTTGGTATACAGTGGACGTTCGAGTTCTAGATTTGTAAATCGGATTCGGTAGCCCAGAGTTCTAATTCGATATCTCCTATACACGTACCTACAATACAGACAGAACGAACACATTTGTGCTGCTTACTGACTGCGTTTATATCAATCAGTTTGGTTGAGGATTGCGCGGTGTCTGACAGTGTTCAACGGAAGCTTTTTCGTTTCAGTTAGGTCGTCAGTACTCTGTGGTAACTGACAAGGCACTCAGTTGTTCTTAGGCCATCTGAGTCGGTGCGAATTTCTTCGTGCCAGTTTTATCGTGAATCTGCTAGCGATGCTGACTAGTTGGATTCCGTTGCTTTTGCAGGAGCTTTTCCTCTGTTACACTCGACTTTGATTGTTTCCAAAGCAGGGTTATTTTCTTAAAATTTCGAGATAGATAGATCGGCAGAGGAGTGTGGGGATTACTGGTTTGGACACTCTTCATTTTAGGTGGTGGCTCCTGATTGTAGTCAGATGGTCCTTGTGGAAGTCGACTCAACAGGAAGCAGATCCTGGAACACAGCTTCTTGCCTGTCTCGTCAGTGCAGACTCTGCACATTTCCTCACCCATGTTCAAATACTCAGGAGGATAAAGCTTTCATATCGTGCAACCAAGCATAGACAGATGTGGACTACAAAGAGTTAGATCTGGGATCCTTATCGATGCGTCATATAAATCCAGGGGCTGGTTCTTTTCTCCCTCTCGTCCTGAGACTTACTCAACGGCATTGAATATTTGAGCAACTAGGTCGAGCTGGCTCACACAGTGTTGACACAAGTTCGGCTGGATTCGAAGGACTTCCCAGGTTGTAGTGACTGCTCAAGCTTGGAAGAAGGATTACGTGGTCGTCCCAAAGAGATGGGGTCGTTATGGGGTCACACGCCCACCTCAGATGCAGTGGCTGGAAACCGAGACCTTACGCAAGTTCTTCACAGTCCTCGCGTTGGTGGAAGCAACAGCGCGTTTCATCCCATGAGCAGGCGGTCGCTCTCCCAGAAGCGTATGCAGGAACCATCGCCTTATTTGCTTTTAAAATATTTCAAGACCCAGCGCAACCATGAGGGTGACGACTCTCCTCGCGACTCAACTAACAGGTCGGAGCACGGCGGGGACAACTCGAAACCGCACAAGAGAGAGTATCACTTCTCAAGGTTCGCAGACGCCGCTTCTCAACATGCCAGTGGAGTGTGCTGTTGGTTTAGTGATATGAAGGGAATGAAAAGAAACTGGCGACAGGCTGCTTTCTATGTCTCTGCTCTCCTGGTCGTCACATTTATGGTTGTGAAGATTTTGAAACTTGGATTGTATTCCATTCACGATCAATCCTCGGATGTCGCCAAGGTAATTCCCTTTCTTTCTCTTCTATTTCTTACAGAGGTACTGGCGCAACTTAATTAGTGGGCTTGTAGTACTGATGAATAGGTGTAGGGATTGCTCAGATGACTAATAGCGCTTTTGTCCTATGCAGTTTGAAAGAGAGGACATTGTGTTAGCTTCGGGTGGTGTCAAGACAAGTAACGCCATTGATGGAAGTAAGGTTGATGTTCTTGCTGATCTATCAGGTCTGAAGATGCCTCACACTCGACACGAAGACCGCCGTAAGGTGACCACCATTTCTCCGAATTTACCTTGCCGTGTCAAGTTTTCGAATCACTTTTGCATGTCGTTAGGTTGCTTTCGTCCGAGATGTTGCAATTTTTTTTATTCACTTCTGTTCATTTATTTTCTTATTTTTTTACTTGAACCCTTTCCCTTCCGTCTGGCAGATACAAGCTTCATGGCCCAGTGACATATGGTTGAAGCCGGACAGTCGCAACTACGGCCAGTGTATTGATCGAACCAAGAATTCAGACAGTAAGCCAATTAATATTCCGTTGAGTTCCACGAAACTTTTCTTTCATCAAATGCTTGATTACGTGTAAATTCACCAATCTAGATGTGGAAAGGAACGAGGGAAACTTTTTGTTGCTGTTTGAAAAAACTAAGTTTATTGTATTTGTCACGTGTTTGTGTGCAGGGCCTAGAGCTAAGCCGAACGGCTACATTCTAGTAAATGCCAACGGTGGTTTAAACCAGATGCGATCAGGGGTGCGCATTCAAATTCACTATGGCCTATTTGTTTTCTTCCTGGTAGAATTTATTCGTTAATTTGATTGGAAAAATTTAATTCCGGGAAGCATTACCCCTTGATGCAGTTCACTGTGTAGTCTTAATGCGGAGTCAACATTCCTCATGAGAGATGTTTGTTTGCAGATTTGTGACATGGTGGCTGTTGCGAAGCTGATGAATGCTATCCTTGTCGTCCCTAAACTTGACCACGGTTCCTTCTGGGCGGACCCAAGGCAAGCGCAAACTGCTCTGTTAGAACGGTGCATTGCAATTTATTTGATGTACTCTTCAGCTGTCAACACAAGAATATGGGTTCTTGTCTTAAATATTACTCGGTATAACATTTGAGTTTCTCACATTTCAGTGGGACGAAAGATAGGAACGCTTTTGCGGTTATTTATTTTTGTATCGTGTGCAGTGAATTCAAGGACATCTTTGATTTGCAGCACTTCATTGAGTCACTTCAGGAAGACGTGACCATCGTGGAGGCTCTACCACCCCACCTCGCCGATATTGAGCCCGTCAGCAAAGCTCCCATCTCTTGGTCGAAGGTACTTGTTTCGGCCCACGTCTTTCAACACTTCATTGTCAATGTTGCAACGTTCGTTAGGGATCCGGTTATTCAAGAATTTAATGTCGGATGGTTTTTTCAGCTAGTTTCCGTCGTGTTATGAATTGAATCCCCATCATTGACATCCCCGTCGTTCAAAAAATGAATTAACCAGGCGTCGTACTACGAGACCGAGCTGGTGCCTTTGCTCAAGCAGAGCAAGGTTCTCTACTTCACCCACGCGGATTCAAGGCTAGCAAATAATGACCTGCCTGACTACGTTCAGCAGCTCCGATGTCGCGTCAATTACCGAGCACTGCAGTACTCACAGCCCATTCGACACTTGGCGGGCATACTCATAAAGCGTATGCGTGAGGATAGTTCTTACTTAGCTCTACATCTGAGGTATATGCTCAACTCAGTCTATAAACCCTTGCAGAACCCTGCATCGACATATGTTTCAATTTCTAGCTGTCATGAATGATCGATGTTCAGAATCTCACTCATCTCCTGTGTCTTTGTTTTGCAGATACGAAGAGGACATGTTGGCGTTCACAGGCTGTACACATGGTCTGTCCCCTGAGGAAGCCGAGGAGCTCAAGCAGATGCGGTATGGGGTCAAGCATTGGAAGGAGAAGGAGATAGATGGCGAAGAGAAGCGCAAGCTGGGTGGGTGTCCCCTCACGCCTCACGAAACAGGGCTCATGCTGAAAGCTTTGGGTTATCCTTCCTCAACCAAGATCTATATTGTTGCTGGGAAGATCTATGGCCGGGGCACCATGAACAGTCTCCATAAAGAGTTTCCGAACGTGTATGATCATGCAACTCTTGCGACGGAGGAGGAGCTGGCTCCCCTGTCGAAGTATCAGAATCGGCTGGCGGGACTGGACTACATGGTGGCCCTCGAGAGTGATGTCTTTGTTTACACATATGATGGGAATATGGCGAAGGCTGTTATGGGTCACCGACAGTTCGAGGGTTACCGAAAAACTGTCAGCCCGGACAGGTATTCATTTGGCCTGAAGTTTAAGAATGAAGTTCTATGTTTTCAATAAATTCCTGGTTTTTTTTTGTTTTTTTGTTTGTTTGTTTGTTTGTTTGTTTGTTTTGTGTTTTCATTTGAGATATTGCGTTTTATCTCATCTAATTCAACTTGCTCTTATGACTTCTGTAATTTCAGAGAGCGGCTAGTGAAGCTGATCGATGACTACGAAGCAGAAATGATCACATGGAAAGAGTTTGAGACCCAGGTGCGAAGGGTTCATAACAATCGCAATGGAGCTCCGAGATGGCGGCAGCGTGGAGAAGTACCCAAGCTGGAGGAAAACTTCTACTCAAACCCTTACCCGGGTTGCATATGCAAGAAGAAGCCTTACAGTCGGCGGTTGCTCAAGAGACCATGAAGATGAGAGCCGTAACACCGAATTAGGAACTTGAGCAGAATGAAGTATTAGCGTTTTTGTAATCTTATTACCAGCTGCGAATACCAGTGCGAGCGGGATGCAATCGTATCCCTGATGATCACACTGGAAGGGGTTTCTAGCTATGAACTGCACCGGATTAAGTTAGTTCAGGCAGCAGTTGTTAGCAATTGATGCTATTTTTTTTCTGTCCCTTGTGGGAATTACTTGGATGTGGGCTTGCTTCTTGTCTCATCTCTGACGTGTCTAAGCATGCCTCCATCGTCTAAATCTTCGAGAGAACATCCTTCTGCGAGTACTGATGAGAGCTGATAGATTAATTATTCTCGAGAAACGAGGCAGTAGTGATTCGGTTTTAGTTTACTGCTGCGGAGTGTTCCACTGAAGTATTCTCTCATTGTTCAAGTGTACATTAAATAATGCAATCACATTTTATGACTTCTCTCACAAAATCCTGTATGTAACGATACAATTCGGTGAAGTGTGTTGAACGATTGCAGAGCGTAAAAGAGTTTTGCGATATGTAAACACAGATCATATCTATGAAGGCTTTTAATTTAATTTTGAAACGTTCGTATTATTGTTAGATCTGGAACAAATGCTAATAACTCGCTTCGGAACATGAACGCTGCACTGGCGCAACATCGAAACGATGTATAACAAGCCGAACTGCATTTAAGAAGGGAGATATCTTCCTGGTCAATATCAGAAAGTTTATCTTTGGAACAGTTTGTGCATTGTGGGAAATTATTTCAATAAAAACAATGAAAGAGGTTCAGAAAGACGATGTAAAAACGAAAATAGTGCAAAAAGAGTATTCCTTTTTAGCCTCATAGAGAGAACGACAATTATTTGCAAAATCTCCACGACGTGAAGGAAAGCGGGGCGAACTTCATGAGATCACAGCGGAGATGGAATGATAAGAGCGTTGCTTCTTGAGGTCTTTCCTTTGTACTTTGATGCCACCCGGTCAGCTTTTTTCCTGTACGTAACAACATCCTTGCCGACTAAGACCTTCTTCTGTTGAAGGCAAACTGTATAGATCTTAATTTCAAAGCTCCAATCAAGCCTTCCGTGAAGTGCTTTCACGGCATCAATGGGAACCTCCCACGTTGCCTCATTTATCTCTTCGAGATCTCTGAAGCGAACGACTTCCGGGTTTCGAAATGGGAGCTCAGGAAAAGCATCCGAGCAACAGTTGGTTGGGTTTTCTTCATCAAATGGTTGACCGTCATCCCATGCAGTCATCTTCCATGCCCACTGCACCGCTTTGTCAGTGCTCTTGGGATCACACGCCGCCGGAAACCATCTGTGTTTCACCGATTCGCCTGCAGATAAAGAAGCTGCCTGACCACGTCCATCATTTCCATCATCTTCTTCATCACTCAACTCCGGTAATGAAATTTTGGAGAGACGTTCTGAGACCCCTAGTGTGGAGTGTCGCTGCAAGTTGTACATGTCATCAGGCTTTGCAGAGGGTTGGGTGCAGTGATGAGCCCATTTTTCCGACGGAAGCACCTTGATTTCAACGCTGTACACGAAGTGTCCCCGCGAGTTCGGATTGTTGAAGCTCTGCGTTACCCCAAATTGCACCTCTTCTAGCAGCAAGTGAAGCTCCAAGTATGGCTTTCCCACTACCCTGTGAAACAAAAAAAATCGTGCACTGTGTAAGTTTGAATGATTAAGTCATAGATGAAGGAATAGGTAGAGATTGATTCATTAATTTCTAGGGACGACCCTGCCCAGAATGTGAAAAAATGTGAAACATCCAGTACCTAGAATATGCGGCGCGCAAGCGAACATCGGCATAAACCTCTTGTTCCGCACTTTCAAGAGTAATAAAATCTTCTACATTCCTGAAGAATTCGGGCTCAGAGGGACTCTGCATGACGATTTGCTGTGGGGCAGCCACTCGAGCTGCACATTCAAACATTGCGTCTAAGAAACCTGAAACAGATTATTCGCGAGGTTATCAAAGAACTGAGCGCTTAATTCACCAGTACTTCAACAATGTGCAAACAAGTTGTGCTATAGGTCTCAAAAACCCTACTTTTTCCATTGTTCTTGAAGGAGCTTCTCATGTAGGATATCAATGGCCAGTGGTTTACCATGTCTCTCAAGTTCCTCTGCAAAAGGGTGGGTCTTTCTTGGAGCTCTGGGGCTGTAAGGTGCGTATGCATCCACCACCAGACTTTGCATTCTCTTGAGGTCGCTCTCCTCGGCCTCATACTCGCCTTTCTGCATCACGATCTTGCCGTCTTTGCCGCCCTCAGCAGTCACAAAGCCACGTTTCTGGAACTCCATTGAAAGCTCAGGACTGTCCATAACCACAACGCCTGAGTCTGTGACGAGTTCCGCCAGTTGATCTATGGACACTTGTCGCAGGTCCTAATAATCAACCATAGGGTATGATTTACTGTGAGCTCAACCTCACACTCCGTGTGAACTATAATTCAAGGCAACCAACTCTTAGAGCACAATTACTGTGGTGTAGCAACCAAGGGAAACAAACTATAAAGACAATTCTTGTTCAAGCAAAGCTCACACGGAGCCCTGCTCGAAACTTGACACGGAAACAAAACAGAAAGGGAGACACTCGATCGGTAGATTAAAAACAGATCACAGTGTTTTTCCATCTTCAATACGTGGGTCCAAGAATGCCATACCTCTTTAAGTTTGCCAGATTGCTCGGACCCACGATCATCCATAGTCATCATTCTTGGAATGCGATAGCAATTTGGATGATGATCTCTATTAATCAGCTCAGGTCGATATCGCCAATTGGCAGCTGCAAGATCACAGCGATAGATGTTCAAACATCAACAAGAGAACACCAGACGCACAAAACCACAAGAAACGTCAAAGACATGAGCTTCAAGTGCACACCTAAGTGCCCCACAAACACGCCACTGCACAACTCCACTAACCTGTCACCAAAACTCACTCTAACCCTCACTCCGAGCAAGACCCTCCACAAGGGTTTAGAGGCTCATCGTCTGAAAATGAACCGGACGAAGTGGATCGAATCAGAAGCGTAGGGACCAAAACGACGGATGGAATCAAATTGAGAGCAAGAACGAAATTGATCTTCGCTAGCAATGGGAGGAAGTTGAACACACACGATGTATCACGCAGTCGCGGCGGTGAGGGGGCCAAGAGTGAAGCCAGATGATGGAACAGGTCCGGCGTGGTGCGGTGTGATTCGGCGAGGCAGGGCCACGCGGCTACCAGAGCGGAATCGAGCAGACTAGATTGCAGGGACCCAGGCAAGGAAGGCTGAATTCCATCTCATGCTGGCACCTGCTTCCGTAATTCGGTCCTTGAAATCTCTGAAGCTAGCAATCCAGGCGACAAGTGTCGTATCAGCTCCGGGATTATGATCTCCCTCGTCAATACTCACTGTGACATGATCTCGCATCATCATCATCATCGTCCTGATTAAGAGGATGGATCCTTGTTTCTCCAGCTGGGCCGCGATCGTTGCCTCGACCTCGCGCATCTCGGCGATCGATGCTCGCAACGACGCAGCGAGGCAAGTGCATGATGGTTATGACGACGGTGCATGCAAACAAACAAACAAACTCTGCACACAAGTGTGGGTGTTACACGAGGAAGATTTCATCTTCTAAACCTACCAACCAAAACGGCCAATAAGATCACATGGATTGAACAAGTAGTTGGCAAACATATTTGTTTTTTAAAAGAATTTGTTTCAGAAGTAAGGATAGGAGCATCACAGCTTTGTCTAGTTTAACAAGTTAGAATATGAGTCAAAGAAGACGCAGTGTCTTCATATTCCCCTTGTTTGATGCCCTTCATTGCAATGTTTTTGTGTTGATCAGATTAAAAAACACAACCAAACGAACCTAATCTTTGTATGTTATTGATTTTTTTGCTTCCTTGGCTTTGCTTGGATAAGACTTGTGGTGCGAGTTGCCTATAATTTGTCAATAACATATTTTTTTGTTCTATTTTTGTTATCGTATTGGTGGTTAAAATGCTGGTGATGGGTTGTAGGAAATAAGGTGAAAAAGCATACATTGCAGGAAGGAGTAGATATAGTTTATCATATAAATTATTTCAAGATTTAATTCTTCATTAATGTAAATATATTATCCTCACTAATTGTTTTCAAAGAAAAAAATTTATTCATGATAAAAGCCTTTAAATATTTTTCTTGTATTATTCTAATTTTTTATTGAGTGTTTTTTTAATGGTTTGTAAGGCTAGATATAAAAAATATTGCAAGTTTTTAACATCAATATATATATATATATATATATATATATATATAATGTGTTGATAAATTTACTTTTTATTTTTATAAAAAAAAATTATGATAATTTTATAAATTATAAATTTAATTTTTGTTTCTGATTTATATTTATGAAATTTTCTTATTATTCTATAGCTACTAATTTATAAAACTTTATATTTTATTTAATTTTAATCATAAGCTTTATAATAAAAAATATTTATTTATTTGATTGTGAAGATGTTTGAGTTAATATTGTTATATCTATATCACATTCTTTTAATAAGTTTTACTTAAAGTTCAAGTAGATACACTATATATGTATGTATACATAGAATTTTAGATATCATACTTTTTTATATTACAAATTTTTTAGTTCTTAAATTTTTAAGGATTTAGAGATTTATAAATATTTAAAAAATCTATTATTAACTTAAATATAAAATATATATATATATATATATATATATTAAAAGTTAAATAAAAGATCTAATATATATTTTGAGAATTAATTATTCTACTCATACATTTACTAGTTCTATCCATTACTTAATAACAATAGGTGCAACAAATGTATCATCCACACTTTTTTGATATATATACATATATATATATATATATATATATATATATGGTGATGTCAGCTACTCTTCATGTGGGATCTAGGATAAAAACAACAACGCCAACTTGGAAAGTGTAAGAAAAGCAGTACTTCCCTTCATGGGATTTAAGGACATGAACCTCCAAGGAAAAAATAAGATGTCTATTTTTCTACCTTTAAGTTTTCTATTTCCATCCATGCATATATGCATATGGTCTTGAAGTCTACCATAGAATGTTAGTTGCCAATCTGCTCAACCTTCTAGAGGAAGTACAAATTGCACATGAGGAGATTTTAGACACATTTTTTTATCGTCCTTGCTTGTACAAAAAACATTAAAAATGAAATGGTAAATGTTAACAGCAAACCAAAAGAAGCATCCACTTTCAAGGAATAAAACCTTAGTTCCTTGCAGAGTATGATTCAAATGATGGATGTGACTAAAGATGATTATGCTGTTGCATAGAAGATGATTTGATGTGTCTAAATAAAGCTTTGCCCTGAAGTAAGAATTTAATGTTGGTTGCTTTAATTACATGAAAATTTATTACATTGGTTTTTAAACAAATATTAAAGGTTAAAAAATATTCTAATATCCTTATTATGTTTAGAATTTATAATACTATATTTGAAATATACTCCAATTGTATCTTTATTGTGCAACTAAAACAAGGTGACAGTTTAATTATATATTGTACAAGCTTTAGCCACCATTAGGTTTTCAACTCCTTCCTACTATATAATTCATTGTTGTTGGTTAAAATAGAATTGATAACAAAATATTTTTATTTCTATTAAATTAAATTTTAAGTAAATTTAACTACTTTAAAGAATCTTGTAATAAACGTATTCTGAGATCCAACTCAGCAGAGAACCTGAGAGTCCATGAAGTTCAACGCAATTCATCATGGACAAACAGCTTCAACTCACAAAGCGGGGAAGAGAAAGTCACCGTGTAGGTTGCGAGGATTTCGTGCTAGATTTGCAGGTTTCTAGAAAAAATAATGTGGACGTGATGGGACGTGGGGCTATTTCCTGCGGAGGATCACGAAGACAAAGTGGGATCCAGGCATGCTCAAACACACCTTTCGGGTGCGTTTCGTGAAGGCTGTGGTATTTCGCTCAAGACGCTCCCACAGCTGATGAGCTTCCACAAGCGGGTTGTGCAGAGATTTCATCCTGTTTTTCGCCCAGGTGCCGTAGGATTCTGGATTATCTAGAAAATTCCGCTCTCCGGTGCTCCCTTTTGCCAGCTACAGGTGGTCTCGTCGGACCTCCAGTTGCTTGATCTCGAACGCCGACGTTTGGTCAATTGCTTCCTTGATCTCCTCAATGCTCAAGTGGTAGACTGGAATGTTGAAGGTGTCTAGCTCCTTGGGGGAGATCACGCCCTCAGCGATGAGCTCCTCCCATGATTGTTCGAGTAAGCCTCCGCCGGGGTTCGCTTCCTGGAACTCGTCACTACACTGTAACTCGGGTTTTTCATGCTCGCCTCTGGACATGCACATCATGGACACGATGCCACCGGGTTCAAGCTCGCAAGCGCGGTGGGTGAAGAAGCTAAGCAGGTCGTGTCTTGCGACTTGACTGTATGCTGCTGCTTTCGAGGGATTACGGCTGTCTAACCACACTTGGCCCTTGTTGTAAGCTGGAGAGGATGCGTCGAGCACGGTCTCGGGGATTTTTGACATCCAGTGCAAGGACCAAATTGAGATGGCAATTTGGATAGAATGCTGTGGGAATAGTCGGCCGTGAAATGACCCTGGTGCCGCGGCTGCGAAATAAGGTCTCTTCGATTCGACAAGCTCCCGAAACAGGGAATTGAAATCGTTGGATGGGAGGTCGGAGAAAAAGTGCTGAATCTCAGGAGCAGGTACAGACTTCATTTGGTGGTAATTTCTAACGATGGACGAAGCGCACAGGTCGGCCCACTCGAGGGCGTTCGCGCCGGAAGAGCACCCGAAATCTGCAACGCGGACAGGTCCAACCTCTGTAAGCGTACCAAGCTGGCTGATTTCGTCCGCAAGATTGTGACCGATGGTACGCAACGTCCCACCCTGCAGCATGCCCGAATTACGAGAGTAGCTTCCTTCACCATCACCGCCTTGCATTCTCAGCAGTGTTTTTCTTTTCATCAATCTTGGGTGCCCCTCGTGATCCTCGCCATGGAGAACCTGCATTTCCCAACCTGCTGCGATCCTGTGGTTACCGACCATGGCTTCAACACAATGCTCACGTCTGCCGTCGATATGTATAGCGAATTGGGTGCAGCTAAAAAAAGTCAGTCACAAGAGAATCATGCATCAGAAACAGTTCCCACTATCGACGAAGAGGAAGTATTCCACAAACGCTAATACAACTCATCGATCACATTCACTTAAGAATAGATAGTGTCGATGGACCTGTAGTTTGTGAGGAACCTCTAGCTTTCAAATGATTACTTTGTAATTAGACGTCACTCTGATGAATCCATGAACTCAGTGCCGCTCCATATAAAGGCATGTGACGAAAAGACAAGCTGGCGTACCAGATATTGAACTAATGATGTAGAGTTTTCAAACTAGACTTTCCACTACATACAGACGTCGGATGACGTGATAGTCCTTGAAGGGAATGACATCATTTGTTTGACATGTGAGCCATGGCCGGATTCTGAATGATAGGATTCTTCATTTGCGATAATAATGTGGATTGAGAAAGTCGTGTATGCATGGCTTTGTGCTTTGAGCAAAACAATATGTATTTTTTAAAAGATTTATATATATATATTTATAGGAGAATGATAAAGAGATCCAAATTTTTACTAAATTGACCTATCTTTACAAAACCATCATTATACTCCTATGCCCTGTCCTTATTCCCATACTTTGTTCCTGTACTTAGTCCCATGTTCCTTTATCAACCCTCCTTGATCTTATTCGACAAATTTCAATTTGGATGTTGGCTTTTGCCTAGTAGATGTCGTACAACAAGGACTTACAACTAAATTTGTTGTTGGTCATCGCGACTTTGTCCATGGTTTATTCTTCATTTGCTTTGCATAGGTTGTAGAAGCCATAATAATTATGAATTTTTGTGATTGATTTTGGATTTTTGAAAAATTGTTCTTACAATATTGCCAATAATGGAGCTCGCAAACCATGGTATGACATAGAATATGGTGTCATGGACATACATATTTATTCTAATATTTATCTATATGTTTAAGTAGAAGTAGGTAAAAGTAGATTTATTTCATAATATTTTTTAGAAAAGCTTCCTAGAAGCTTTATAGATATTGCTTTGACTTTGCATGTGTTTGTAGTTGATTGATAATTTAGAAATTTGGTCAACAAGTTAACCACGTATTGGTAGCTTGTGGAGTAAACTAATTATGTGGTGCATATATAGAAAATTTGTCTTATAAGTTAAGATACATCTCTTGTATAGTCGACACATTTTGTAGGTCTTATAAGACATTATTATATAGCTCCTACTTAAGAGTATATATGGAGGCAAGAGTGAAGCCTTCTTCATTCTTGTCAATGCCTTTCTAGTCCTTAGTCTTATTTCAAAACTTTCTAGTCTTCTTATCTTTGGCAATAGCCATTCTAGTTTAGTACGATATCATTTTTGAGTGATTTTTTAGTCATTTTAAGTAACACAAGAGTGTATTGACATTTTAGTTTTTTGAAGCTCATATCTTTTACATATGATTTTGATACTTTATGTCATCATCTCAATTGCAACTACTTTGGTCTTAACTTATATAGCAACTAAGATTCTCACTTAGAAGGACCTTGCTCATCTCTTGGTGAGGAAGATAATCATTCCAAATGTTATGAAGACCTCCCAAGTCATGGCGTGGCCAAAGTAGTTAACTATCGCATTCATCATTGATGATGGCTCAACATTGGATTTCTTGGCCTATGTCTGAAATAACAAGCAGCAAGCAATTATTCATAGAGTAGAATTGTTGCATTGCTTTGCCTAAGGGAGTAAAAAACTTTGTTACATTTTGAAGGATCCCATGAGGATGTTTGAAGTTGATCCTATTTTTAAGAAGTATGAATTGTCTAGCGCAGACATGGATAGCGTTCCACCTACTTGAGTAGTCCAAAGAATATTTGTGGATGTGGAAGAAGTGAATAGTGTCATGTATAACATATTCAATTATCTTTCCATGATGCATGTTTAGATAGAAATGATAGATGGTAGTTTACCATGCACCTTTTTTTTTCTCAGTCCTTCACTCACATATGTCTTCAAATAATCATCTCTGAATTTTAGAAGACTGGTTTTAAACATATTTTTAGAGTAAGAGCATTACGCCGAGAAGATATTTTGGGAGCTTTATATGCCTACACAAATGGTAAATCAATAGCAGTAACTTTCATAGTATGCATTTTGATCTTGAACAAGTCTAGTTTCAAGACTATGGATTTTTACTTTCTATTGCTAACTGAAATTGTGCATCCAAACATCTACTAGGTATGTCATTAGGACAAAAATGTCAAGTAATATAACAATGTGCAAGTTACAAGGAAACACCATAGTTCAATACGTTGCAACCTCATCGCACTTACTACTCCTTCTCACTTTTGCCTTTGCTCATAAGCTACATCTCTACCACCTCTCAAACTACTCTCACTACTTTTTAAATGTCACCATTATCATTGAAATAAAGTATGTACAAAAATGATGAGAAAGATAAGCTGGTGGGTTTATTTTTGGTGGGTGAAAGTATTGACTAAACAAGGGTGGAGGAATTTGACATGATTTAGGGATCTAGTTTGAAGGACAATATCAAAATATATTGATGTTAAAAGTAAGGAATTGCAAGTCTTGGAAATTTCATATCTAAGCAACATTAGATAGCTAAAATTGGTTGTTTCTTGGTAGAGGTCCGCAATACTATGTTTGACATTATGGTGGAGTGATGACTAAATTTTGCCTACTTTTACATCTAGGTTAGATAGGTGGTGGATATACAAGGATTACAATCTCTTTGGAATAGTTCTCTTAATAACCCACTCATTTGTTGAGAAGTCTCTAGCTTTGGACTTACTTGACACATATATCCATGAATTTCTTGGCACTCGATCTACATTCCTATCAATGTTGAACAAGATTTGAGACAACAGAGAAGATAGAGTTTGCAAGGCTATCGTACTTTATTTCATGCTTCTTGCAGAATATATCTTTTTTATTAATATCTCCTACTTAGTTTGTATTTACATCAACATATTTGTTGCCCAAACTTCAAGCTAATTTTTATTAGTGCGACGTGCACAAAGAAAATGAGGAACAAAACATGCTTAGAATTATGACGACCAAGAATGAATTGAGAAATAATAATAATAATAAAATGATTAGAAAATAAGAATATTAATAAAATTACATAATTTTTTTTATTAAGGTTGATTTAAAATTACTAGAAGATAATAAACAAACCAAGATATACAAATAAGATTTGTATAGATGCTAGTATAATGCAAGCACTTCCAAAAGATAGATAAAAAAAGAATAAATGATTATAATATAGAAGAACATTAAAATAATTAAAATAATAAGAAGTTTGTAAAAGCTTTTGGAATATAGTCCAAATTTAAAAGACTTTATCTAAGTAAAACATTATTTTATAAGATATTTCTAAAAAAAAATCCTAAAATTATAATATTCATAGTATTTGGAATAAAAGAATTAAAAAAATAAAAACAAAATAATACTAATTCAATTGAGTTAAGATTTTAATTTGTCTCAAACTTAAGTAATGTCTAAAAATTAAAAATACAAGTAATCAACCTAATAGTTATATATATTATGTTAATTTTTATATTAAAAAATTAAAATTAAAATAATTATAAAAATTTGGTTATATCAAAATTAAAATATCGTTATTTATACATCAAAAGAAATAATTTTTAAACCAAAAATTTAAGATTTTAAAACTTATATGTAAGAAAGATTGTTAATCTAATAAAGAAAATAAAATAAATAAAATAAAAAATTTTGTAAGAGAAAATAAAAAAAATCAAAATTTGATTTTAGATGTTGATAAAAATATTAAAATATTAATGAGAAATTAAAATAAATTTAACCAAAGAATTAATTAATAATAAATTAATTTATATAACCTAAAAATTAAACTATTTTTTAAACAAATAACTTCTAAAAATTATGAAATTTTTTGCCGATTTTTAGAAGGAGATAAGGTAAATGTGACTTGCTTAAATATTTATAGAACATATTGCAATATATTGCAAAGCTTTAAAATAATAAGTCATAGAAAAATCAAATCTAAAAAAATAAATAGTTATATAAATAAAAAAGTAAAATACATTGAAATTCTTGAGATAGATTAAATATTACATTATAATAAGAGAGTGCAGTAGAGATTGGTGATGCAATTTTGTATGCTAAGCAATGCAATAGAAACTTCTTAAAAATAAAAATAAGTAGAAAAAACTATTATAGTAAATATAAAGATAAAGTTTAAGATATTAGAAAATCTAAAAAGTATAAAAAGAGAATAAAATAGAAAAAAATTAAAATAATATGTAATTAAAAAATTATAATAAAGATTAATATATTGAAAAATTGAAAAATTATAAAATATTCAATAAGCATTATAAGTAATAACTAATATTTAAATAATTAATAACAAGGAATAAAAGAAAGCCTTATTTACAACTACTTGTAATAGGATTGATATATATACATTAATCATGAATGAGTTTTATATTGAAGCAAAATATAAATTAAGAAAAAAATTACTTATATATACAGAATGAAAAAGATTTCACTTTTGCCTCTACATATATTATCTCCTAAAAAACCATGTAACCTACATGGCCAATTTGTAATACAAGTGGCTAAATACTAGACATGTCACTAACTTATTGGCCAAGTTATCAACCTACCAATCACTTAAAAATATGTGTAAAGTCTATTAAGCTTTTATTTTATTTTTTTAATAAGATATCAATTATTTAATCTAATTTTAAATATACAAATAAATATACTAATAAATATGACTATTTATTATATAAAGAAAAATAAATAAATCTAATTTTTATTTTGTTAAATTTAAACTTAATTATTTTTCATATTCTTTGAAGAAAATTTTATAAGTGGACTAAGATATATTATTCAACATCAATAACTTATCATGCAAAGTAAACATTAGAAATGTGAATGTCTATTAGAATAAATATTAGTGTTAACAAAAACTCAAAGAATCATAATAAAATTATATATTATAAGTTTATTAAATGTAGAAATAAAATTAAGCTTTGTAAATTATTCAAACAAGACTAATTTATATATTATAGAAATTAATTTTTTAATTAATTAAATACTTTGTAAAATTAATTAATCATACTTTTTAGCTCTTGATTTTTTTTCTTGTTTTTATTTAATATACCTACATAATCAAGAGAGATTCTATTGATTGGATTTTCCCTCAAATGGTGTTTTTCCATCTAAAGTGGCATTATAATTAAAAGTAATTCTTTGGCCATGGCTTCATCATTGAACCATCATGGCATCTAATAGAGATGACTACATTCCAAAACAATCAAGTTATGTTGCAACTATACTTTCATATAAACATTCTATAGTTTTATTGTTTGATAAAAATATTTTTAATTTTTTTAAATTTTAGTGTCTTATTTGTATAATTAGTTTCTAATTAACTTAGCAATATATTGTTGGATAATTGATTGTTATTAAATAGATTATAAAAGATTAGTTAGTTATTACAACTTAAAATCTAATATATTTGGAAAAATTCTAATATGAAGACAAACTCCAATTAGAGAAATGTCACCAATTTAAAAAAGATTGAGAGAGTTAAAAATATATATATATATATATATATAGATATATATATCTTTGCAAAATATTGTATACTTTTGTATTTGTAATAGATCTTAATAAGAAATCTATATAGTCAATTAAAAAGAGAATTCTATAATTAATTGAATTGATTCTATAAACAATTGTATTAATTATTTAGAAATATTGTCATAAGGACAATACTAACAAGTTTCCTATTTTAATTTTTTTATAGTCAACTTATTGATTGAAATGATTGAAAATAATTTTTCTTTCAAACAAAAAATAATTATATTTCTAAGATAAGTTTTATTTTTAATTCAATTTGTTCCTAGTAATAACTTAAAAAGACTACATGAGATAGAGAAGAGGTTATTTGAATTAAAAAATATTGTCTAATATTTAGCTTGATTGCCATTTTATATCACCAAGTGATTAGACTACAATAATTAAAAGAATTAGTTGTTGAATTAAGTTTACATGCTGTTAAAAGTTAAAATTCTTTTAAATTTTTTACTTTTTTAATAATAAATTTAAAAATATAAAGAATAAGTTGCTTTATTTTAATTTAAATATAAGAATTTTTAACTCAATGCTATTGATTAAATTAAATTATATTTTAACTTCCTATTTGGGAGTTTATATCTTTGTCTTTGAACTCTACAAATTTGGCTAACTCTCATTGATAATAATTAATTCAACATCTCTCTATCTTATCTTTTAGATTGAGTAGACTCAACTTTTGTACCTTTATTGGCAATCTTCAACAACCTAAGTGAACTTCTATTTATACTAAGTATCTTTTGTTGATCTTAAAAAAAATCTAAAAAAATATATTCTTTTATTCTAATTAATTCTAAATAAATCTTGAAAATTCTTAATAATTATTATTTTTATCAATTATAAAAAAATCATTAAGAAATAAAATAGAAATTATTAAGTAATTATAAAAAGTCATTTAAAAATCTTAAAGAAATCAAATAGAAATTTTTAAGTAATTATAAAAAATCATATAATAATCTTAAAGAAATCATAATCATTTCTTAGCTATTTTTAAAGGAATCCTACGTAAATCCTAATTGAATTTTAAATAAATTCTATACAAAAATTCAAACCTTAATAATTTTTAATTTATTTATTGATCTTAATTCAAAAAAATTATACTTTTGAATCTACAAATTGACAACAACTACAAAGAATTTGAAAAAACTGTAATAAAAGATTTAGAAAAAAATGTTCCTAATCCACTTACGTATCCGTTGTTATAATTCTTTAATCTTAATGTCAACCTTCTCATGTCAATAGCTTTCTTTTCCATTGTTTTTATAGTTACAAAATTTATAATTTTTTTGAAGACTAAATCAAATATTATTACACAAAAAATATTATTGCAATTTAATTAACTGATTACTTAAAATTGTAGAAATCCTCACTATCTATCAAAAGCCAATTTTTAAGATCTTCTAAAACTTAAATATTTTTAATTTCACCATCTAATTAAGCCTAATTTTATAAAAATAATCTACTATAACTATATTCACAAATCTACACAATTTTATCCATAGATTTGATGCAAATCTTATTTAATTTATCAAAATGATATATTTTTTTATCCCACAAGAAACACTGTCATTCAAAACAATCTTGACTTTTCAAATCTTTTATAAAGTCAATATTTCCTCAATCTCTTAATACCAACTCTCAAAAAAAAAACACTCTCAAGTTTGATTTCCAATTTTTTTTTTGATTAATAAAAGAATTTTATATTTTGCCATGAGTGTATGGTATTGTATTTTACTCTAGTTTTAACTTAAGTTTGCAACTTCCTTTCTTTGGATATCAATCTAAGATTTTTTTATTTAATTTTTTTTAAAATATTTTTTATTTTTATTTTTACTAAAGATGTCTATAATATTATTTTTGCTAATCTTCTTTGTTTTATGAACTATGCTCTTTCTTTTCTTCCTGACTACATTCTACCATAATTTGCTATACTCAATTGTTGTAATGAATTATGTAGACAAAAGATGATTTTTGTACTTTTTTATTCTGAATTCAAATCAAGCTTGTGTGACATAGCATTCTATTTGATGATAGTTTTAATAATAGATTTTGTGAAAGAATAGGTAGGATATGGATTGTATCTTCTTTTCTTTGTTAACTTATTCAATTCATGTTTTTAATTTCAACCAGTTCCATAGCTATATTTTTTCTTGAAATGATTACCTATTCTTAACTTGGATTTTAGTTATTGGCGCATCTTACTATGCATTTCAATCAATGCAAGTTGCCCAAAGACATTGATTGGTGCCACAAGTTGGTCTTCTATCACTTGAATATTTTAGAATTTGATTTGGTAATCTAATATTAAATTGGTTTAAGATAGCTTCTAATTTGAGTCAATTTCCTATTCTAGTCTTTCATGGCTCTTATTGTTTTTATAGAATTTTACTTCTTTTATTGCGACATTTTTAATTAATTTTAACTCTTCTATTCCTATTTAATTTTTTTTAAAAACAATTCAAATGGATTTAAGCTCTATCATTAACTATTGTATTTCTAACAAAATAATCATTTTTTTATAATGATCATTGTCCTTTTTAACATCCTTTTATCATAGAAATAGAGTTTAGCTATGGCCCTTTTTAACTACCTTTGACTACAGCCATGGCCACCATCCATAGCATTACTCAGATTGTTCCATCAAAGCCATAGTGTTTCTATTGCTACATCTTCTTTAGCATTCCTACTAATATTGTGATTGGTTTCTTTAGCTAGACCAATTCACATTAATCTCTTCCGCTCCTAATTTAGATCTATGATACATAACTCTTTTTTAAGTTTTTTTTATTGACAAGCCATTAGATCCATCAAGGCTCCATGGCTTACTTTTATTTGTAGCCCTGTTAAATAACACTTTTAAGACAAGTCCTACGGAAAATTTTGTTGCAATTTCATCTCCCTAATATGTTATAAAGATAGCCAACTTATTGTCGATCCACCTCCCTCCCTTCTCCATTTCCAATGTATAAGGTGTATTATTTCCATTAGTTTGGCAACTAAGTTTAACATCAATAAAAATAACAATAAAATCTATTTCTATTGATTGGAAATAAATCATGGGCTTATTAAAACAATGTTAAGCTTTGAGCAATAAATAAAATTCATTATACTCAAAATGGGTTTGTGTGATTTATAAATGGGTTGCAATTGTTAATTGGTTGGAATAGAATAATAGTGTAATTAGGTGCCATACTTCTCTTGATAGCATTAATAGGTGCCATACATCACGGTTTTTGTAAAAGTTGGATTCTCATTTTTGTAATCCACCTCCTGTCAAAATTAGGTAGTTCTATATGTCCAAAATGGATTGAAGAGAATCTTCAACTAAAACATTTATATAAATTCTATTTTTGGGCCAAATTGTGTAAAAACACTTAAAATCCTCTTGATTTCTATTTCCCTATGTGGAGGTATTTTTTCCATTTTTACACCTACTAAATATATGCTAAAATGCTTTTTGAAATGAGTTATCTATCTTAATCTCTTTGCTATTATGTGTCTTGTTGGTGATAGACCTGCTTCCAAGTGTCTTTGAAATTTTATACACTCAAAATAATATTCAAAATTTCTTAATTTCTCATCTATGAAATTAAATAAATAAATATATATATATATATACATATATATATTTTAATACATGTATTAAAAAATAGATTTTCATGCATTTCTCCTCTGTTGCATTTTCTTTTAGTGACTCATGATTTTCGTAGGTTGGAAATTGTTTTATACCGATGGCTCAACAACATTTTCCAAAATTACCTGGATCCTTCAAGAAGAAATAAAAGTAAAAATGTAACACAACGTTGATGTTAAGTTTATTAATCATAACAGTGAGATTCACAGCATGTCGTAGCCTTAGCGTCAAAATAACTACTCGCCCACGTAACTTTTTATCATGATCAAGAGGTAAAAGTGGGTTGCAAGACAGAAGTACATATAAAATTGTTCAAAAAGCTTGAGCTGAAGAAGAATCACTTGCATGGTCATTTATGAGAGTACTTCCTAAGTAAACAACTCAACCACACTTTTCGAAGCACGTCTGAAGCATTCCCCGTTCCGTCGGAGACAGGTGTAGGGAAAATTGACCCCATGGCCGCGCCATAAGAGGGGACCTATACGCGTGGGGGGGGGTGTGTGTGCTTGTGTGTGCCTGAACGCTGCGATGCGAGCTCACCCACATCATCTCACTGCGAAAGGCGCGACGACGGCCGCGTCGTCATGGTGCCCTGACAGCAGCAGCACCTTATCCCCACCCACAAATCTACGACCCGTTCGCCCTGCGCGCATCGCACCATCTCTGGGACCCAGTTGCCCAATTTTGCCGCAAACTCGTCTCCGTTCCACGCTCCCCAATTGCGCCCTCGCCCGCCTTTCCCTGAGCTCCAAGGGATTACGCAAGATCCACCGAAGAAGATGGGGCGGAGGAATCCCATCTCGCAGCCCATTGTGTCACTCCTTTTTGGGCAGATTTTTTCGTGAAGCCGAGTGGCCGACTCCGTTAAGTCCAGGTTGTGGCCACATGCGAGAGCTTGAGTGTGGCGTTCCCTCAGTGCTCGCAAAATGTAGCTCGTTTTCTCGTGGCGCTTTGCCTCGTAGCTGGTCTGTGTTTGAGGATTGTGGCCTTGGGAATCTTGTCCCCTGTCTTTGAGAAAGGAATCCGTCCTCTGCAGTCGGTTGATTGTGCTGTTAAGGATAGAATGCGTTCGCCTCGTTGATCGATTCTGTGTCAATTGGGTTATCACGAATTAGGCAATTTCGTCGCGGCTTGTTGTGAATTGCTCACGTCTGCTGACGCAGCAACAGTGGAGGCTTATCTGGGCCCAGGGTCTTTGGTTGGAGTTGGCAAAGCTCACAGAGAACTGATTTGGACCGCGTAGAATTGTTTGGAAATGCATGCGGTGGCGCTGACGAGTGGGATAGTGGGCGGGGCGTCCTACTGCCCTGGGGAGATCAATACCACTCCATGCAGGATTGAGAGCAAAATGCTTGACGTCAGTTTTAGGGTTTGCGCGGCTCGGAGAGCAAATAACTTGGGATGGAAATTTGGTGGGGAGGCAAAACATGTGCTGATGCCCCACCGGATATCGAATTCTAGGCTTCGCAGGTGCGATTTGTATCACAAGAAAGATCTGTCGACTAGATTAGAGAGGAGAATTTGTTTTAGTCCGAGGGCTCAAGTGCCTGGTGACTTGAGCCTAATCTCTGAGACCGTTCGTGACGTGCTTGACGTGCAAGAGGTGTCAGTTTTACAGACGGACTTCAATGAAACTGCTGAGGTTGAAGACGGTGTGGTAGCTCTAGGGCACGGCTGGAAGGTCAGAGAAGCGAGCAAATTTGATACAGAAGAGCTCAGGGCGGTGGCTCACGTCCAAGCTACCTCGTTTCATCTTCAGGCGGCCGTGTTTGATGAGCTCTTCTTCAAGCTATTCAAGGTGAGTGATTGGATATAATTTGGTATCAAGGGCACTCGACTTGCTCAAAATTGCTGCCTCAAAGTATGCACCCAACGTCTTACACTGCTTGGCAGTAGACATTGATATTCTTCCTTTAAAAAAATTTAGTATGGGGCATGAAAGTGGTTTTTGGTTCTGTATGCATCTGTGTTTGCTCTTCGTGATGTTTGGCCACCTGAATGTTTAGGAACCTGGAAATGAATGCCCCTAAAATTGAATTTGATTTGTGTGGAGAGAGTCCCGGATTTGATTCAAGCAAACTTGATCACTTCACCTCTAAACTAGTTGATTCTAGTTGACGGACTTACTGGTGATCATCTGAGCAGGCAGAAGTGCTTAGTGCTCTACTCTACAAAGCTCGCCATTCACCTCCGGACAGGTTCAATCACTTATCCTGTCATCTCTATCGGTTTCGTTTCAGTTTTGCCAATTTTACAGTCGCCAGGCAGAGAAGAATAGGCTTGCAAACAATTTCTATGGATGTGTTTCATGTTATGTAAACAATCAACAGTCCAGCTTTGGAACAGGCGATGGAGACCTCTATATGATGATATCGTGACAATTTGTCTTGCATCAGTGCAGGTATGCTTGCTTACTAGCGGAACCAGCGACCGAACTGGGTGGAGGAGAGTGCGGTGATACATTTTTTCCAATCGTTGTAGGGGCGGTTAATTTAGCTGCTGCGGTCGATAATGAAGTGTTACGCCATCTTCATAGTGCTACCGAGTACTTGTACGTGAGTGGCATGGCTGTGGATATTAACTACAGGCAAGTTATACTCATCCCTTCCGTTAAATAGGGATTCTTACAATTTGTCGAACATTCATTAGGAACTCGATCAAACTTTGTAACGTTTTTAGTGGGTTTACAATCTTCGTCGAATAATTAATAATTGTCCGAGCCAAGATATAAATCAATCGATTGGATTGTCACTAGAAAGTGTGCTGTTTCAAGAAATTGAGCAAACGGTTTGACCATAGCACTTTGATAATTTTGATCTTACAACAGTTCGTGATATGCTGACACAGACGCTTTGATCTGGTCTTTACTTAAGAATGCTCTTGTGATTTTATTTCATTTTGTTATGAAATTCTTATTCCTTGTGCTTCGTGGAATTGTTTACACTGTTGGTATCCTACATTAATCGTAGATGCATGTACGTGTAGGAGACGGAATGTGGCGACTATGCTTCTGAGAGCCTGCGAATTGCTAGCCATGAAATGGGGATTCGACTACCTCGTCTTGCACGCCTATGAAGACGACATGGCTGCTCGTACCTTGTATTCTAGGGGAGGCTACAGGGTAATTGCCCTTGATCCTATGTGGATGAGCACCTGGATTGGGAGAAAACGACGTGTACTGATGGCTAAGAGGACTAGCAGAACGCCCAACTTCGACTTCTGACGCCGAAAAAGCGCATTCCACCTTTCTTTTATGCCTTTTGTTAGATGCACAGGGATTTAAGAGTTAAATTGATGTTTTTCACATCTACCATATCTTGATGATTATTGTAACGTATTACTGCCCTTGGTGGAGTTTCAGCTTCGCTCCCTGTACATTGTAACCTATAAGTTTTCATTTTTTTAATTTATTTATTTCTCCTTTGTTGACAGCACGCAACTTATGGCATCTGTTCCTGCAATCAAACCAATTTGCAGTTCTTGAATGAGTTTATGTGTGAGCCTTGTACAGTTCTCATTGTAACAAAACCTCACTGTTCTGATCCGCTCTTTCAATCATGGGGTCGAATCCCGCAACACACAGTTATCGAAAAAACTAGCTCGTTTTTCCTCTATCTGAAAAGTCAAATGAAAACCGAAAGGCAGATACCGTGACCTTCGGCTGCAAACTGTCATGGTCTCTCTCTCTCGTTTTGTCTTTCAACTCAGACCAAGCTTTCAACAACCAACCACAGCACTAGTAGGAAAAGAGCAAGAGGATTGGTTCTATTTCGTTCATCAATTGAAATTCAAACACGCTTCTACGGGATCAAACTGAGCTAGCCACAATATGAAAACGGTGGACGACGTCAGTGAATAAGTACAGAAAAGCACGTGTCGAATCTTTCATGTAACCACACACGGGAATCCATGGTGGTATCAAAGTCGGGAAGTGACGTGAGCAGTCGTCTTGCATCGGAAGAAGAGCCGCCCACTGAAATGTTGCACATGTGTGCCTTGTTTCGTTGAAAGCCGAGACTGCCTACCACCCTAGCATCTTGTGCCACGACCATCTTAGCCAAGTATGGATTCATTAACTGCCATTGCATGCAGGTTTTGGTTGTGGGTGGTGAAGTAGAACACGTCCATCACAATGTGAGGCTGCCGCTGCTGAGGTTAACCATGAAGGCAAAAATACCACCACAAATAGATGCATTTATTCAAAGGTCATGGACGCAGCACCTCGATCAACACACTTCCTTCTGGTTTGAGCCACAGATTGTCTTTCTGATAACAACATGATTCCGAAACTTTCCTTTCTCCGACTCATTCAACGTGAGCCAATACGGTGTTTCCACATACTGAGGCTTCAACTTCCAACGTTGCTCTAACAGTGATGCCCACTTTTGATGTGATGATAAACTGTGAGCTGTTATGCAGTCAAATCATCCAGCTCGGCAAGTGTCCGCAGTGGGTCTTCCTCAACTTGTCGCGCGAAGCCTCTGTTTATCACTTTTTTCACCTCACAAAGTGGGTGTTCATTTTCTCCACTTCAAAAAGGATACTCTTGGTAACCCGGATGTTATGGATGTTAGCATGTTGGCTTCCAGCTCCAAGGTCTGTGTGGTGGTCTTAACAGAGAATTGGCCGTCTTTGAGAGTCGACTCTTGGCACTCTGAGACTAGGATTGGATGGCTCTAATACATACTTTATATGTGGTCGTAATCTAAGCTGGTATTGCTTGAAGGGCTGTTCCTATGGTTGTTGAGTCAACTGTGCATGCTCTTGTTCTACAGGAGAAGTGGTGGCAGCCCAATGTTGAAGTATACATATTTTGTTGTAGTATGTATGTATATATATATATATATTTAGGGATTTTGAATGCTGTAAATTAATTTCTTTAAAATAAAAAAATGAAAAAATTGTACTTTTTTGTTAAATTGTGTGTAAAGAAGATTGGATAGACAAGTGTACAAAGTACCAGCATGAAAGAAAATTAGAAAGATCCTACCTTGAAATTGTTAGATCTTTCTAATTTTTACTAAGGTGTTAGCTAAGATATTCTAAGGCCTCCGTTCAAAGATTCTAAAGTATTGACTAGAATATTTTAAGGTATCAATAAATTATGTTGTATTTTTTAAAAAATAAATGACTAAAATAGAGACAAATATCTATTACATTTTGGAAAAGATCTCTTATATTCTTTTTTGTATTTTTTATTTATTTAATGAAGAAGATTTTTGGAGGATATATATATGCATCTTATTTTTAAGAGGAAACAAAATTTTAATTAGCTAAAATTTTATTTTTATATTTTTTGATATGCATGTGTAGGATAAATTGTTTGTTTGTGCAATTATGAGGCTACCTTGCAAGGCAAGAAAGCATACTTTGCTCCGTAGTTGCTAAGGAAGTCTTAGACTTCTACAAAAAATATAAGAGAGAACTTAGTAAAGTATTCAAAAGCTCATTGATGTAACAATGTGTATATATTGTCTTTTTTTTTTTAAAATAAAAAATAAAAAACAAACAAACAAAAAAAATGATGATAATAATAATAATAATAATAATAATAAAACAAACAAGTGATTGATTAGTTGAATAATTTAGAAATAAATAAATAAAAAAGAAAAATAAATCTATAAGAAAGTGTCAAAAACTCATATATAAGGATTACAAAAAACAAAAACAAAAACATAAAAAAATGCAAAGAGAGGAATAAAACCAATTTAATTAAAATGAAAGATTTGCCAATGGGAAGCTTTTGGATTTAACAAGATAACAAGAAAGCATAGCATATACAAAAAAACGTTGGTTTCTATTTGGTTGATATTAATTGTAGTTATGTATATGGATGGGTGAATTGAACTTTGTATTAAACTAATAGGGTTTTGCAAGTTTAAATGTATCTATGAAAGAATAAAAGGATTAATGTTCTACATGTAATAGTGACTTTTTTCATATTGTATGATATCACTATTTGCATATGTAAGAAAATTGGTATTTTAAATTATGTAATTATGATTTTCAAGTTGTCAAACTTTTATCAAAGAAATAGAGTGGTAGATATTGGTTGCTTTTTTTATGTAAGATTTTGATAAGGCTCAAATTTTCTTTTCAACCTTAATTTCTTTGCCACATGTTTTCTTTTTGAAGTTTAAAAAGAAAGTCTAAACATGGAATGTGGCCTATTTTTTTTAAAAAATTATACAATCCGAAAAAAACATAAATAAATAATGAATATAATAATAAACATGTATTAAAAAAAATATTATATAGGAGCAAGTAACATGACTATTTGAAGTTCAACTTGCTTGTTGGAAAGTATATATATATATATATATATATATATATATAATATGAATAATTTTGATAAAAATTAGTTACAAAAATATGTTTATTTTCTCAAGAGAATAAATCCAAATTTTTAGAACTAACTTATTTAACAAGCTGAATTACTCATTTCCATTGCATTTTCATTATTTTTATTATTTTTATTTTGTAATAAAAGATGAAATTTTATTAAATTCGAACACATATTATTTTCTAAATCAAGGAATAACTTTGAAAATCTTGGATTTGAAATTGGAATAATAATAACAAAATTAATGGTCTTAGAACTTGTGATTAGTTACATTTTGAATAAACATAGGCTTATTTTAGATCTTAATATTTAATTTTTAGATTGATAAGATATTTTTAAAATAAAAAATTTTAATAAAAATAATAAAAATATATATATATATATATATATAGAGAGAGAGAGAGAGAGAGAGAGAGAGAGAGAAAGAGGTTGAAAAGAAGACTTAGGTGTGTTTGAAGCAAATAAAATAAAATAAAAAAATATGAAAATAAATTGAATAGAAAAGTTAAAAGATGCAAAAGATGTTAAATAAAACAATTAGTGCAAAAGATGTTAAATAAAACAATTAGTGCAAGGAATGTTTAGAGTTGATGTACATTTTATCTTTCTTACAAGTACTATTTTTTCAAGTAAAATTTAAATTTTTGTTTTTAATATATATATATATATATATATATATATATATATATTGAAAAAATTAAATCAGTTGCAACTATTAATTTAGAACTATGAAAAGAAAGGTTTCTTCTTGATATTTAGTTTATAAAATTGGTCTTTATTTTTTTGTATCAATAAATTAATTATTTTAGCAAACACTATAGAAAAAATGAAATTGTTGAAGAAAAATTATAAAATAAATATGAGATGAGTGACCTAAAAGAATTGTACTATTATCTTAGAAATCAATTTATAAATGATTGTGCTAAAAGCATTATAAGAATAAGCCCAAACTAGTACATTCAAGAAATATTAAAATACTTTAACATGAAGGAGTGCAAGCCTATTGGCATTCAGCTTAAAGCCAACTAAAAGTTGATGAAGCTATTGGAAGATAAATTTATACAAGTTAGAGTTGACATAAAATAGTTTTTATATTAGGTAGTTGTAGACTCATTTATGTATGTAATAGTAACTATAAGAGTGGATCTTGCATATACAATGAGTATAATAAATTAACACTTGCTGAAGGTTGGTCTTATATATTAGATAATAATAAAAGAAATTATAAAGAACTTAAAAGACTTTTTGGACCATATATTGTGTATTGGTTGTAGGACCAATAATTTGCTAAATAATTGTAATGAAGATTGGGCTAAAGAAGTAGATAATAGAAGATTTGGCACAAGATATGTTTTTTGGTGGATTGGAAGCTATTTTATGAATTGCAAGAAACAACCTATTATTATAAGATTAAATTTGGACACAAAATATATGCCTATAAATTATTGTGCTGTGGGGATACCATATAAGGCAATATTTAAAAGACATTAGACTTGTCTAAATGGAAGCAACTTAAATCATATATTTTAATTAAAAATGCCTTACTTTTACAAAGAATAAAAATAATGAATAAATTAAAATTTAACATCACTTCAGAAGAAAAAAAATTGAATATGGAATAATAAAAATTGTGCATTTTATAAAAAAAATACAATATTGTTGATTTTTTAACAAAACACTTGTAAAAGATAGGTATATAAAATTAACAAGTATAATAGACTTTAAAACCTTTAATTACTTGTAATATAAGAATATTTGAGTAAATAGGATCAAATAGTAATTATTAGATAATAAATATCTTAAGGATTTTATAATGATACGTTGTTATAATTTCAAAAGTTATTATAGATATATTTAAATAGGTGATGTAATAGCTTGGATTGAGTTGTAGATAGAATTATTAACTTTTAAAATGTAATTTGTCTTTTTTAAAAAAATTTATTAATTCTACCAACAACTCAATCCATTTGATACTACACTAATTCTTCAAAAAAGCTCATTTTATATTTTAAAATATGCTCTCATTGATATACTCAATATATATATATATATATATATATATATATATTGCAATCCAATATATATTGAAAGAAGAAATAGATTTATTTTATATTTCATAAAATTCATTCTATTTATTGTTGATAACTATAATAAGTCAAATTGATTTTGTTTTTAATGATACATTTTCTAAAATGATTTTTGATAACTTGCTTTAATTATAATTTGTATTCAAATAATAAATCTAAACTTGATTCTTTTTTGTCAAAAGAACTCAACTTCTTATAAGTTAAATAAATATCAGAATAAGAATTAAAATTCATCACGTCATTAATCAAATTTTATTAATAGTATAACTATTTGGTTTATGATATGACTTAGAGCATTGAAGTTTTTAATGATGGTAATATTATTGCATTATTAATTTATACTATTGCTTTTTATTCTGCTGCAAAAAACCATAATTTCTCAAATTTTATGGACCACTCTTTCCAAACTTCAATTTGAAATATTTTACAATAGTTGCAAGAACATACTTCTAATAAAAAAATTCTCATTTCTTCATTTCTCATTGAGAAGCCTTTTAAAAATAATTTTACACCTAAATACACACCCCCTTTGTTTCATTGCTCTTTTTTCCTCTTTTGATTTTGATCTAACTTCATAAAGAAGACACTCTCAAAATGTTATTTCCTTCCAATTCAAAAAAAATCAATGATAAATTGACATTTATTTTTAATTTTTTAAACAAGTTTATATATATATATATATATATATATATATATATATTATATGTCTGTTCCCCATGTATCACATAAATTTGGATAAAAAGATATTCAAAATTCTAAATATCTACCAATATTGAATGAATGATTTTTACATCATCACATTCTTTTCTACTCTCAAAAGAGCTTTTTTATTTGTTTATATGTACATATCTTTCTTAACTAACATGACATATTGTAAGTCACATAGCCTTCATAGAGACAAGTAATTGTCTCTCACATCAAAAACATAAAAGTTAGAAATATAATAACTCAAAGAATCCATCCACTACAATACAAAAAATACAAAAAATAATAAATAATAAATAATAAATATCATCATTTATATAAATTCTGATAATATTTTTAAGATATTGGTAATGCCATCACAATTTTTGCTATTGTTGCCACAACCTACCACCCACTAAATATATTTCTTTAGTTCTTTTATTCTAATCAAAATATGGTTAATATATTCCTATCTACTTATATAAATAAAATCAAGCATCTACGCATCCAAAAATCCCATTGCTTGGTTAGTAGGGGGCATGGATTGCCAAAGTAGATTGTATGTGTTTTTTAAGGGGCACTAATTGGCTGCCAATGTATATATATATTTACTTATTTATTCTTAATCATAGTAAGAGGCAATGATTGGTTGCTAAGGTATATAGTGTTTTATTTATATATATATATATATATATATATCCAACCATGAAAAAATGATTGAAGTGACAATAGAAAATAATAAATTTTGACTAAATTTTGTTTAAAATTTTTATGGAGTTGTGGTGGCAATAGCAAAAATTGTGATGGCATTAACAATGCACTACTTTAAACACAATCATCTTTGACTTATTTAAAATAACTACATTTGTATGCAGTATTAAGTTTTTGAACAACATTTCTCAAGTACACGAAACAATCAAGACCTGAAAATAGTCAATCAAGCAAATATTTTTGATCATGGTGCTATTCAGTGGCGGTGACTATTAATTTATTCAAAGCCATACCAATTGGGTATATGAAATTATTAATTCATCATAGTAGATATCGTTTGGGAAAGACATTATTGAGTTTATTAGTACACCCAACTGGCGAGAATTCAGTATTGTTTTTTGCACTACTCAATAGTCGATATTGATGTTGAAAGTATTCTGGTGGTCTGCTCGAGCTTTCAGTCCACTGGATATGCGTTTAAAGGACAGTGTCTTCACGTCATTCACAACTAAATGGAAGGTATCCAGACGAGAAACAGCTTGTAGTGAACAATTTCACTGTTTATAAGCAACATAATTACATCAAAGGACTAAAACTAGACGGCAACGTAGGTATTGAAAAGCGTGCATCAAGCTGATTGATGGAACAATGCTGTTACTTGGCTACTAGGCAGATTAGTTCACAAAGAACAGATGGCTGAAACAAAAGAAGGCTTCTGAAAGAGGAAAAAATAACCTGGCCATGAAAGCACAATAAATGAGACTATCAGCACATTTTTATCTAAATTAACGGTGAACTGAGATCTAGGATTACAAGTCGAAACCAAGGCTTCACAATGAAATCTCGACCAAGGTCACTATTCCAAGCACTCCATCCTCTGGATTAAAAGGGTCCCATGTTAGGATGAAAAGGGTATCCGATACAGAGGAACTGATCCTACCCGAGACTGATTGAAAGGATTCGATGCAATACAAAGATCTTCAAAGTCTTGATGAGTTTTGTAAGTTCTCAAAGCACATCCACGCCGAAACGCTTTGCATTCGTTTTCTTCAACACTACAGACCCTTCTCCAGCTGAAGTTCAAATTGTGACAAAATGTTGCTTAACCACCAAAGAATATACCCAGCTTGTGTTCCACTCAGAAACGAGATGGCCAAAGATGCACGATTAGGCTAGTGGGCGCTTCAGTACTCTCAAAGTGAAGTCTCAGATGGCTCGTTCGACTCAATTCCAACAGCGGACTCCGATCTGCGTTTGCTCAGACTCGCACGCTGCATCAGCCTTACAAGTGCCTGCACCACTTCAGACATCGGGGGTCGGAACTCGGGCTCCGGCTGCACATCACATTGCAAAACCACAAGTGTTAGAGGAAAACTTCAATTATCGAGGAAGATAAATCAACTCCGGCTTGTCTCCTTCAACTCAAGCGGTGAAGTTCCCATCAACATTTGAGGTATTATGACCCTTTGCAAGACCGCTAGGATACCGATCGAGCTAATCAGGCAACAGTATTAACTCTGTAATGTTAACGTAGTAAATGGGAAGAGAATACCTGGACGCAAAGGGCGACTATATCAGCAAACCGAGAGAGTGATTTAGCAGGGTAGATGCCCTTCAACGACGGATCCACCATTCGTGCAAGGGCGTCGATGTCGTGCAATTGAGGTGTGGCCCATCGTACCAAAGATTGCTCGGATCGTGGTCTTGAGCTGTCTAAAGGCTTGCGCCCAGTGAGTAGCTCCAGCATTACAACACCGAAGCTGTAGACGTCACTCTTCACGGTATAGGTTCCAGACATGGCGTACTCAGGGGCACTGTAACCGAAAGAGCCCAACATTTGTGCCGACACCTGCCAATTGTAGATGACGATTCATAAAAGTCAGGTACATTTGAGTAGGTACACATAGGGCACAGAAAGTACGAGGATATATTGACAAAGAGGATAAATTCTTGAGTGGCAAAGAGAAAAAGTATCATCAACACAACAACGTCCGTTGTAAGGAACAGACCTGGCGTTCAGAACCAGATGGTGCAAGGGCAGCTAGTCCACAGTCCGAAACATGAGGATTGAGCTCATCGTCTAGCAGAATATTGGCAGATTTGAAGTTGCGGTGAACCACGGGAGGTGCACAGACTTCGTGCAAGTACCTGTACCCCAAAACATGTTATGGCTGGCAACGGCTGACGATTCTAAGTTGACAAACTAAAAACCAAGTACGAACAGATACATTGTGAAACATCCTTGAGAGGCCAAGCGGAGATAACTTACTCCAGAGCACGCGCGGATCCCAAAGCAATCTTAATGCGGACATTCCAGGACAGGGCCTTGGTGTTTTCACCCGAGAAATGGAGCAATTCGTTCAGGGTTCCACGACTCACGTACTCGTACACCAACAGCCGTTGGTCATGTTCAATACAGTAACCCACAAGCTCAGCCGTATTAGCATGCTGCAGGCGAGCCAAACTGTCTACTACACTCAAGAAGTCATCCTCATTCTGCACCATCGACGCGCTGCTGTCGATCTTCTTCACGGCCAAGACCTGGCCGTTGGGAAACTCGGCACGATACACGCGACCCATGCTCCCTTCTCCAATCAGATTATCCTGGGAGAAGCTGTTTGTGGCTGCCTGAAGATCCGCTACAGAGAATGGGGTGGCTGCAATATTGCTCTTGTTCACCTTGCCAATTGTTGCTTTCGAATGTCCAGCACCCAGGCCGCTGATACCCTTAAATGAAGGAGGAGCCTTCAGTACCTTGACGGGCGGAGACGCCTTCACCACTGGTTCGTCGGCTGCTCCTTTGTCAAGAGGAGCTGTAAGGTGAACGAATGCAAAAGGAGCCATCAGCACATGATCCAGCAACTTGACTTGCTCAAACTCAATCGTAGAATGCAACATACTTGAGGATCCTCAGCAGGGAAGTGATTTACCTGGCTCAAATACTCTGTGCTTTGAACTTTTCTTCTCACTCTTACTGCTGCCAAAGATGTTGCGTTTCGTCGTTTTGTCTATGCTCTTGCTGGGATCACTCTGGCTCTTTGCGGAGAGGGGAGGTGTGAACCACGGTCTTCGGCTGCTGGTCGTGGCCTCTGGATCGCCCAATGCTTTCTTGGACCGCTTACGACAACACAAACAGATGCCGAGTGCTAGTAATAAAAGCAGCACAGCACCACCAGCGGCTATTCCAATGATCGCCCCTAGAGGGAGATGCGACGATGATCCATTCGATGTTCCTGAAGGAGAAGGAGTCCTGGGAGCAGGTGTGCCGGGGGCTGGAGGTGGGGGAAATGTAAGACGATTTCCTCCAACCCTGCGGGAGAAGCAGGGCTTATGTCAAAAGAGTGGAATGCCCGCACCTGGAGATTCGTCAGAGATCAAAAGCCTACAACTAAGCCTTTACATGCCGAAGATATGAATCTACAGTAGGAATTACAATTATACGGCGTGTCAAGGAAAGTAAATCCAATATTTTAAGCAAGAGAAAATGTCGTACCTGCTATTACTGGGTAAACCTGATGGATAATTACCCGTGAACTGATTGTTCTCAATGTTGCTGTTTCAATCCAGAGATGGCAACATTTAGCAAATACTTCTTCATCAACTTGGCGCAACTAATCCTCAAGTGCATTAATATGATGATTCTCAAATCCAACCAAATACAGAAGAGAATTGTGTAACAATGACTTACAAAGTCTGCAAATTCTTCAGCCGAGAGAAATCGTCGGGAAGTTTACCATTAAATTTATTGTTCTGCAAATTCCTAAGAAACCACGAAGCTTACAAATATAAATATGGCCGTTGAGAATAAGCCCGCATGGAATAAACGCATAACAAATGAGAATCTTGCTGTAGAATAAGCACATCTTAAAAATAAGCTAATTAGCAGGCCTAGACAAAAGAGAAAGGAATCTCCAAGCTGCATGATACTTACAAGAAACGAAGCTTGGCCAGGTTTAGAATGGAGTCGGGAAGAGTGCCTTCAAGTTGGTTATAGGAAACATCGCTGAAAACAAAGACAGTATGGTACCGCTTATCATCTTTGTGTGGTGGGTCGGAAGCAAATTCTCATTACAGGAAATAATAAAATCTTATGTCCTAGTATTGTGCACGAGGTTTCTGATTCAAATGATGTATTTGTTCTCTTGGTCAGGAGAGGTAGAAGTCACGTCCGAAAAAACTTACAAGGTTTCCACATTCACGATCACATTGAAATAGTTGGGGTTCATGTTGCCGGTCAGATTGTTGTTGCTCAAGTTTCTGTAGCCAGATGAAAAGCATTGGTAATTGTAACCACTTCTGTAATTTACATTTTTACCATCTAGTATTAAGGTGCATAAATATGTAGCCAAAAAGGGTAACGGCAACATCATTAGAGCTGTGAAGCATACACGACTGTCAAGGCGCCCAATTGATCAAACTGTGGGAGACCTCCGGTCAATTTATTGTTGTTCAATATCCTGTAATCAACGGAAAATATGCTCAGAAGGACGTTTCACACCGCGAAGATCTGAAAAAATGTCAATCTTTAAGGCCGCACAGTTGAGACTCTGTGCGCGAGATCACTTTATTGACTAGGGTCTAAAAGTTAAAACTATCTCTTACAGCAGCAGAGTTACCGTTTAAGCGAAATTTACATTTGAGTAAGAGACGTAGGAAACTGTTGAGGAATATTTCCTTCGATGTTGTTGTTACTAGCATCACTGAAAGCAGATCAATCGAAAAGTTAGAGAGGAAAAAACCGTAAATCGTATAACTGGTGAAGCAGCATAGATATCAACAAACCACTACAGGAAAAAATGAATCAGAACAGTAACCACTACTACATAGTTAAAGAAACATGTGCGAAGGAAAGGCTCTTACAAAATTCGAAGCTTTTTAAAAGCGTTTTGAAAGTACGAAGGATTAAAATTTCCATTCAAACCCCGACTTCCAATTTTGCTGCAACACAGCAGAATAAGTACAAGGGATATCAGGACCAGTCAATCATATTCAGTCTTTCTTACTCCGTAAATCAACGAGCAGATGATTCTGTAAAGTGATGATTTAACATTCTAACTTGTAACAAGTACAGAAATGGTTTCCAACGGTAAACGATAAGCCAACCCTGAAGAAGTTATAAACAAGTAGTGAAGGGAACTCATCCAGATAGCAAGGACAGCATGCTGCGCCAGTAAGATTTTGAAAAGGTTCTACTCGGAATATAACGTTCTTACATTTCCGTGACAGAAGAGCCATCACATACAACGCCGTACCACTGCTGCCCACAAGGGTTAGAAGCATTTTGAGTCCACCCCGTGAGAGATTGACTCTGTTTTAAGTCATACCACATGGAAATTAAGCCTGTAGCTGCACCCAAGTCATACAAAAGCAAAATGTGAGCCGCGGAGAAGCAGTCATTAGCATTTGGCCACTTCCTTAGGAAGCAACATTGTAAACGGACGTCCATATTGTACCCACGAGGGAAGGCTTGCCTGGAGACAGCATCTTCAAACTCAATGCTGCAGAGAAGACATCAACAAATTGAGGTTTCTAAGTGCAAAAAATTTGCAAGGCAAGTGAGCATACTAAACAGTATGTTCAGTGGAAAAGTGGTTTTGAGTTCATGCCAACTATGTGGAAGTGCTGTTTGAACTAAAATCAGCTGGCCGACCCCAAGAGACATTCTTCGCTCTGCAAGGTAGAACCTCAGCAGTCATTACAAGGACACTCCTATTCAACTGTTGTCGAGAAAGAATTTGTGAATATGATAAGCTCTCGCGAACCTAATTCTGAGAAACAGCAAGCATGGACTGGGTTTGCTCTTGATGAGTTTGAAAATGGGACAAGGCGACTCGAGCACTTGTTTGAGAAACTCAACGTAAAGAGCTGCTTATCGTGCAAAAGTGTGCAGAAGTTCGCGACTGATGCAGCTCGAATGCCAATGCTGACTACCTACTTCCCATTATAAACACCGCTCTTCCATTGTACTCACCTGGCGACCTATTCGTGGACTAATTAATAAAGCACAACCACCGTTTCTAAGGGAGCCCACTTTATTTCAAAGCCTGTAGAACAGCATTCCGACGGAAACTATGGAAGCAACAGAAACTACGCTAATTTGTGGTGCACCAGAAACAAAGTGTTTGAACACAGTGCCGGCCCGCACTCATGCTTTGATTTGCAAAATCCGCAGATATTTATGCTTTCTCGCCGAAGGATTGATGTAATTCACTTTACCTCTATTACCCTCCTACTTCTCCCTTTCCGAACCGCAATTATGCTTGACGTTAAATGGTGAGAGAATAGTACTGAGCCTTTTCTTTCTCTTCAGACCCAAGAGATTTCCAGATGTCGGGATGCCTTAACGGATCTCTTGAACACACACAGACGCATTTGTACAGAAGCGGCACCAAGAAAGGTGATGTTTCGTTATGCTGGAATTGATAGGAGTTCGAAGGTAGAGAAGGAGAACAGAGAACTTACTATCCACTGGATCTGTCTGAACTTGGCCATACACAGAGCTCACCACCGAGAGGATCACTACAGAGCACAGGAGCAGTCCGACTCCCAGCGACTGCTTAGCCGGAGCCTTCATATCCACACCCATCTCTTCAAACGTTTGTCCACGCCCACATTGACTCTTCGTCGGAAAATACCTTTCCGGCACTCAGCCCTCGCACGCACAACTCAAGAGTCCTGCACAAGCTTCTGTTGGACTCCGCATATACCAGCTCCTACCCCAAAGGCCATCCCTCGCCACCGTAAGTGATACTCACCCCACGCAAACTAAGTCCACTTTGAATATACAGTATGCAACGAATCCAATTCCTCAACCACTCTCAATAAGCCCTATAGCTCGCATCCAACCCTACTCAATCTGCAACCCAACTCGGGCTATAGCTATGAGGGACGCACGTGAACCAACTCACCGTGAAAGATCCTTGCTCGGTGGCAGCAGAACTCGCTCCCTACCCCTGAGCGCCAGAAACAGTGTGGAATCGCAACCAAGAGCAAACCTTTGCTGCCAAGCACTTGGCAGGCAGTATCAGATCTTCTACTGTAACTCGCATTACGACTATTCAACCTCGAAACCAATACCAACCCTCCTGGGTAAAAGTATCACCTGAGAACTTAACCCCGCTTGGTTGATTGACTTTCATCTGAATGTCTGGAAGTCACGAGGAAAGTAATTCTTGGCATTATTGGAAAGATCTCTTTGTAAATAAGACATGAACCATTATAACACTTGTAATCGCACATCACTTCTACTTGTCTCCATTTCGCATGAAGACTTTACAGAATAAATTTCGATCCTCATCTTTGGCTTGTTCCTATAACAGCATATCTCTCGGGATCACAGCTTAGGGAAGCAAAAACTACGAATTTAATGGAACAACACGGTTAACCTTAACATGTCAACCAGCCTTTCCAAATTGTGTCTGGATCTCATATTTACATACTAACATTATCTATTATTTTATTTTGCTTATTTTGCTGATGGAACCCAAGAGCCCAAATCCCTTCAGTCACAACAACAAGCTACCGGAGTTCCTTTCACGTACTTTAGCGAATACCCCTTTTTTTCTCAAAAGTCAGCCAGTACCGCACTTCAATACTTGACTTTAGACGAGTCTAGTCTTTTCATTGTTTTTAAGTATATATACAGGGAGACTTCGATTGAGCCGTACATGCAAAGTCTCCATATTTCCACAACAAGAGGTCTAGTGGAAGCAGGATTCCATGGAGACCTCAGTTTTCAATACTTGTGACTCGACGTTCTTAACATGGGTTCGAAAATAAAAAGCAACGCAGATGATAAAAGCATGTTCCTGTAAAGAGTGCAGAAATGATCGCTCCATGCGGACCTCCCCAACACTAAACTGGGGCCCAGGAGGAGACTTATTACCCATCCCCCAAAGTGAGCGCCATACGCATTCAAAATCGACTTTGCCAGCTCAGGGCGATGAGTTCCCACTTCCAACGGTGGCACGCGGCGTGGTTCCTTGCATCTCCGACTCACCCAGGTGGGAGCAATCTAGCGGCAGTACATTCGGGAGTTTCGGGACCCAGTCGTCGCTGGGTCCCAGCCATAATTGCACCAGCTGGCCGCGAATTCTCTTGCTTTGGCATACTAGCCAGTGCGCAGCCAGCCAGGTCTTGAACCTGGGAGGGGGGAGCGTTGCTGGAGCTGCAAACGCGAGCTCCGCGGTGAAAACCAAAACTGTGAGCTTCGCGCTTTCAGGAAAAAAGCCTGAATGGAGGGCTTCTCTCAATAACAGCAAGTGTTTTTTCACATTCAGCTCAAGGCTTGCGTGTGTGGCTGCTGCTTCAACTGATGAATGTGCGTGTGCGTGTGCGTGCCTCCGTGTGTGTGTGTCCAAGTTATCTTTGGAATCTGCGTTGCCTGTTGCACAGCACGCGGAGTGAATTGCTGCCGTCTCGACCACCCACCGAAGCTCTCAGATCTCCCTAGGATGATTCTCATTTGCCAACTATTGCCTCGTCGTCGACGACGCGATCGCATTCGTGGTCGGTTGGAAGCGGGTTTCATCACACTACCCGATTTCACATCGATCTCTACTCTCGGTTAATATCTCCTCGGTGCTTCGAATCCATCCACAGTGTTTCCTTCGAGACTGCTTCCAGTTTTTAGCCCACGCCTTCACCTGGTCATCAAATGCTTGGCCTGTTTTGCTCAGGAGTTGCTCTCCAACGGCAGTCATCTTGCAACGAGCCCACTGAATCGACACATCTACTTTACCAACTTGTAATTTTCCAATAAATAAAACCTTTACAATTATTACCCAAATAGCTGTAAAGTAGTAATGAATACTTCAAGATGCTTGAAACAAGCGTATGACCCACATATACAATTTTTTATACTAGTACAACAGTGCTAAGATGATGTACATATAAACGGAGAGAGAGGGAGAGAGAGAGAGAAGAACATTGATTCAGTCTCTTACTGGAAACAGCTCCTCTTGCTTTAATTACACATTTGTATTGATGTTTAAAACATTGTTTGTACGCTTGACCAGATTCATACTACAATGTCCACCACACTGGAATCATGCACGGAACGTAGGAATTGATTCTTTAAAGGTCATACTTCCAGGAATACACGTTGCATCATTTCCCCTAACTCGAGTTTTTCTTAATTGGGCATGGTCTCTATTCCAACCCGCCCATGCTCACAGTCTAACGGTGACATGGTAATAATACTGTATATCACAAAATATAAAGATTATACGAATAAAGGCAAAAGGGGCTTATGCTTCATGGCATGGGCTATTCTGATGGGGCATGTCCAAGTCATCACTGCCAGCCTGGCATCCGAGTCTACAGGTTCGGCTGACCTCCTCAACCGGACGAGACGGTCTCATGGTCATACCCGGCGACCCACGATCTTCATCCATCCGTTGCAAGCCAGAACAACTCGCCGAACAACCTATCATCCATCCATGTACACCCAAGATGCGCATTATTCATCCATTAGTTCATCCATCCGTCCCGCTGCCTAGGGCTTGGAACTCGGCCCCGAGACTCCCACCGTGATGCTCGTGGGCAGTTCTGGGACTGTGATGTTCACATTGCGAGGAAGTGTTAACCTTTAGCAATCAGTGAGATTCGAACCTTTGGTCAGTGAGATGTGGTGGGTCCTGATAGATGTAAAGTAAACGAACGAGAAAAACTTGGATGAGGCTTCCGTTTTCATCCTTTAGGGAGACTGGTGCTTTTTCGAGTAGCTGCTGACTGGGTTACTATAGATCCACATGGAATAGAAAAGGCTAAGCTGGCCACGTGGTTTGATCCTTCGTGTGGATTTGTCCACAATAAAAAATTCGCATGATTTTGTTTTTTTTGTTTTTTGTTTTTTTGTTTTCTTAATTACTGCTTATATATGTGCTTTTTTGAGAGAATAAAATTTATGATTTGTCAAATTATCAGTTTCCACAGAACGGTATTTTTGTAGAAATACATCTGTTGTGGTATATTATGTTATGTTGCTGATATAAATGGATTTCATTATACTTGATTTTGGTCAGGTAAGTATTAAATATGCCTTAACACTATGCTTACATCAAAGGGCCCATATTGACAAACAACAGACATGTTACAAATATGAATCAACCTGAAAAATCACATGTTTTTTTTTATTCCGTTCGAATCGTGGATAGTCAGATTATTTGCATTTTTTCCTGTTTATACTGGAAAATTCATATCCTCTCGTAATATATACACACATACATGCATATGTAATGAAGCAATGAGAATGTAGTGACATCTAAGAACAACATTGTAATAAAATGTTGACAACATGTTACAAATTTTGAATGTTTTATACTGGAAACAAGATATTTTGTTTTGTTTGTAGACTATTTTTTATTGCATTTATCTCCATTTGTAAAGTATTAAATAGATTGAACACAATGTAAAAAAGAACTAAAGTACTGTTCAGATCTGAATTGTGACTATGCAAACAATTCAAAGTTGTCTCTTTAAATTTGTCAGGTAATTGAATTCAGTGTCACACGCAACTGATCATGGTAACTAAAACATTTCCATGCATCACATTGATTGTAGTCCAACCAACTGACTTTCTACGCTTTTTATTTAAACTGTTGCCAGGTTATGCACTATCATTTTGAGTCTACTGTAGCAATTAGTTGCAATTAGTTTGAGTTCACAAGTTGAATGCTCTAAGGATGTTTATAGTGGGGGAAAGTAAGAACCGGAGTTCATCAGAGATATCTTCAGAATGAGGAAACTAATCAAAACCAACAAAACTATTTTTGTAACTCAACTGCGCAAAGTTTTTGTTAATGTGTGTGTATACACGTGTCACACATCGTTCCAGCATTATTCGATTGCGGCATGTTCCGTAACTATTCGTTCAGACCCTCGTTCCTTCGTGATTCCTTTGTCTTCCGTTTCTAATTGTGAACAAAACACGCGGTTTTAGGGTTTTGGAAAGCAGTTCCCTGAGATGCGGTCGTCCTGGAGATGCGGGTGTTGCAGATCGGCCTCGAAGCCGTCCGTGCCGTCTCATCACTCAACTGTGCCCCCAACTGTATCGCCCTAACTTGAAGTCATGACACATAACTGCCAGTGTCGATGAGTCTGTGCTTCCTCTTCCCACCCCAACCCATTGTGCAGCCACTCCCAGTTGCTAGTTTCCGTTCACCGGCTCGTGCAAGTTTGTTGAGGTTGAGAATAGTGAACACCCCTTCGAGGAGCAGCTGCTGTCACTTCCACATCAGGTTAACGCGTACCCAGTCCTGCAACATATCCAGAATCTTGCTTTTTAGCAACTTCGGTAACCAATTGTCAGGTTCATTTACGTGTTTGCTAGCAGAGTATGAATCGCAGATCCCATGGTTGAGAAGGCAATATGGGTACCTTCAAACTGGAAGGCGGGTTGCGGGAGCAATTTGCAAATTGAGTCATCACAGTCGAATTGGAGCCGAAGCTTATTATATCCTGAGCAATATGGACTGATCAGTTGTTTTGGGCGATTTTACTCCGGGATTGGTAGTGCAGGCTCCTTCGATTTGAATAGCCACACCGCTGTCCGTCCTTCTTTCGCAACCTTGACTGTGGAACTCAAGTATCCTTGCGTGCTATCAGGATATTGGCAGCTGGAAGGAAGCGTCACCACGAAATCCACATCTCCGTTCAACTCATGACATGGAGAGTTCGTACTTTTGATGATATTCTTAGCAGCACGGGTTGTTTGAACATTATTTAAATGAACATGAAGTGCGGTCCAAAGATGCAGGTTGGTAGAGGATATTTTTTCCTGTAAGAAACGTTTGGAACGGTTGCCAATGCTCTGACAAGAAGGCAGGTATTGACATGATGCTTGATTAATCGTTCATCCCAGGAATGTTAATTGAGACTTCACAAATTGAGACTGTGTGAAGATTGGAAAGCATCGGGGTCTTCGAGGGTAGGTTTGGCTCGATCCATTCAATCGTGATGGTTTGACGACGCTGATGGTATGTGCGGGGCTCGGACAGTCACTTTCGGAGTACAGGGAAGTGATGTATTTTACCATTCCGATTGTACGAGTCTAACTGGTAGCAGCAGGAGATTGATTCATTATTCGGCAAACCAGTAAACCTGGTAGCCCCATGTAATGTTTCTGGTCTTCGCAAGAATTCAGGATGATAATAGATCTCTTCTATCCTGTTTCATACATGCGCTACATCTACACAATGTTCGAAAGCAGGCAAGTCTTCGCAGGCATTGTGGGTGGTACACTCACTGATGCAAAGCCGGTCAATAACTGGCGATGAGAGGATTAAGCGCGGTTAATACTCAAGATCTGACATGTGTTCAAGGGAAATCTTCTGCAATGGTGCAGTGCATCCACTATGTGAGAAAAGTATTTTTTCAACCAAAACAGCTTCTAAGGAAATGGATCGCTTGCCTTTTAAGGTGAATCCCTCAGGCTGTCTTCTTGCACCGAGTTCTTACTTCTCAATACAATCTTAACAGAGTTGGTGGAGGTGAACACAACAACGCCATTCGTTTCCACGATCCAGGAATCAGATTTTGTGCCATACCTCACGTTGAAGAAACACATTCATACTACAGATCAGACACGGGGTTTCGTTGCGTATCACTGTGTTTTGTGATGTAGCTACGCTTGTTGGGGGGCATACATAGTTGAGGTCGTGAGGAGAAATAAAAAGACTTCTCCGAACTCGACCCAGCTTCATCAGTTGCTTAGAGTTTAATCCAGCTCTTGATTGAGTCATTTCTGATATTGAACGATCCAAGTTGATGAGTTAAGTCATATCGTAATCCATGCCCCTCACAAAGCAACTCTCGCTAGTTTTTTTTTGTCGAGGAGTTAGCAATAAATTCAGGAATAACGGACCGTAAATATTTTTCTTCCCGCACTTATAAATATTACGGTAGTGACCTTAAATGCACCCACCTGCTAGAACTAGGATTGATTAGTGTCTCCACCCTAACGAACCATGATCCAGGATCAAAAGCCTATTTAAGCCATCTATTCAACATGTTTTATTATTAAATTTAATAGTAAGTTGATTGAATGTAAAAATCATGCTAAATAAAAATTAAATAAATTGATATTTCTACATAAAAGTAAGATCTAATTATACATTAAAATTTTTTAGCCATATTATATATTAAGCTTTAAAGTTTTAAAATATAAAAGATATATGTATTTATATATAACTTTTTTTATATTATATAAAATAACTTAGAATAAGTAGATGGCTCTAATATACAAGAATAGAAAATTCTTATTTCTATTTCTATTCTTATGTATGTATGTATGTATATATATATATATATATATATATATATATTCATTTATTTTAAATTTTTTATCTATGTTTATTTTAATAAATTTTTATTAGTATTTTTTATTACATCCTTATTTGCATGCATTAAAATATTGAACTATACATACACACACTTATATTCATAAATTAGTTGTACTATTAGATGATTTGATGATTTAATTATTGAATTTCAATAATTTTTTTGATCACATGAACATTTGGACACATGTATAAGCACCAAAAGTAATGTTCTATATACAAAATAATAGAATGTATTGTATTTAAAAATTTGTAGCATATTGAAAAATATAAATAATTATTTAATAGATTGAAAAAAAATAACAAAATTCAAATCCAAATAAGATTATGTTAGTGTAAGAAAAAACTCATTTATATAGACGTGCACAAATGGATGGAAACAACAACATTAAAAGGATAGAAAAGCAAAAACTGTATTAAGCTCATATGAATATTTTATAGGAACTAAAGAAATAATATCTTTCAAGATGGTGGAGAAGGATTTTTTTTTTTTTTTTTTTTTTTTTTTTTTAAAAGAGAGAAAAAAAAAGAATAAAAAAGTGAAGTGACTTATATTGAATTAGAAGCTGAAGTTGCAGAGGATTTCTAAGAGCGAGGAGTTGCATGAGGTTCACAATAAAATTGAGCCAGTGTGGATGAGGAGGAGAGGAGACTCTAGCAGCTTTGGAATGGACTGTGCAGCATCTGGCATCCGAAATTGCAAAAGCTAAGTACATCTTGAAGACTTTTTTCCTGCAAGCAGGTCTTTCTGACTTGGAAACACATTTGTATGATTAGGAGAGAGAGATGGGACAACGCTGAAAAAAATGAAGAGTAGGCAGACATCGGCAACGTGACTTTCGAGATGCGAGACTTGCAAAAAAAAAGGGCTGACAAGTTGCAGCTCGGAGAGATTGATCTAAAGTCAAATTATAACAATCTTAGAAACTGTTTAGAAGAGGGCGAGGAGGCCAAGGCTGAGGAGCAACTTGGCTTGGAACAGCGCAAATGTCTGGAAGGTGCAATCGACAGCTTGAAAAAGCAACTGTCTGATAAGGGATTGGAAAGCTCCGACTGGCAATCGAAGAGGGATGAATGGGTCCACAACCTAGAGAGTACTTCTGAAGCCGCAACCGAGAGTAGCATTTTTAGTTGCAGATCTTCAGCAGAGACTTCCAAAGTTGGAACAAAGCAGTGCAGATCGCATTCGAAAAGAGACATCCTAGTTTGATGAAGTTGTACTAGAACTCCAGACTCTCCAAATCTAGCTTCGGTATTGTGAACAGAACTTGGAAGCCGCCCAGGCTGACCTCAGTCAGTACAAGGGGAATTGTGGTAGTCTAGTGGAGGCAGTGTTCACCCTAAACCAGAATCATTTGAAGACGTGAAAGGTTGCAAGAGCACGAGTCGATTTGGCTCGTCAAACCACGTTGGTCGAACAAACCTCTAGAGAATGAGTACGAGCGCTACAAGTTTGAGAGGATAAAATTGAGATCGTAGAGAACCTGAAGCATGAGGTGAAACACCTAAGGAAGTCACTTAGAATTTTGGAAAAGAGATTTGGTTCTTAAGCGCATGAAGCTGAACAATACAAGAGTAAAGTTGAGGAATTGCAGGGGATCTTCGATGAATACAGAGATGCCCAGGTGTTAATTTCCCAACTCACTTATGAAACTGTATGCGTCCCTAATATCTGTCCAAGATGAATCACGGGTGACCCAGGACATGCTAGTTGGATAGGAATACCACAGGAAATATTAGACTTCAAGTTGACCTGGATGGAGAATTCAATCATCCACAACAAGAATATGTGTGTGAATTGCATCAGGAAGGTGGAATGCAGCTTTTCCACACGCACGAGATTCTTGAGAAGCAACGGAGCCACTGTTTTCTCAGGAAGTACCGGCAATTGAATAGTAGGAGCTAGTTACTTGCTCTGGAAACGCTCATGCACTTTGGATTGGCCTCAGATCTTTGTACATCAGACCAAGAGTGCGAAAAAGGGATTATAAGTGGTGTTGAAGAGACATTCCGAAAGCAAACGTGACAACAGCCATCAACAGCAAGGATGTTTTGACGAGAAGTATAGATCCTCAAGGCACGGACGGAGCATTTACAAATGGGTCCGGTTCTACGATGCTTGCGAGGACGATATGAACATGTACATTTGTAATGCAGTGGTGTGATGAATGGTGCAAAAAATTGATACCGATGTCGCTGAAGGACAAGACTTGTGAGTTGAATAACACCAGCTCTGGGCAGGACCAAAACAAAAACAATGTGGACGTGAATGTTTATAGTAATGGTAGCAACAGAAAGAAAAGAAAAGAACAGAAAATAATAATAATAATAATAACGACACATATTGCCTACAACAAGACGCAGAGTGACAAAGAAAGCTATTTATATTGAACAAGTAGGGTGAGAGTAAGTCACCACAAGAATTCCTTTGTTTTATATACAACCCAGCTCAACACTCTCAATTCTTCCTAAGTAAGCATCAAGAGTTGTAGGAGTGTGGTGGAGAAGGGCACCGCCTTAGCAAGATCTAATTTTTTTTTGAGATTTTAATTACGAATTATATTTTTATAAATTTATTTTTTTTGAGATTTAAAAAAAATTATGCTTATAATTAAAATTTGTTAAAATTTAAGATCAAAATTTAGATTTCATCTAAATTTAAGATTAAGATTTTTAGAATTGCATAATATATATTTAAAATAAATTTCTTTGAATGAATAATAATTGTGAATTAACAAACACTTTTAAATTAATGTGCATAGTGAAATTTAAATGCATTAGGATTCAATAGTATTAAAGATGTTTTATTACATTTACATTAAAGATGGAAATTTTTAAGTTACTAATATATATAGCAAACATAGATACCATTTAATAATTTCTTATAGAAATATATAAAAGATAAATTTATAATTTGATAAAAATTTATATAAAGAGACATTTTTTAATTCTAGGTTTATAATAAATCATCAAAAATCCTATAAAGATTTAATCTTTAGATATAATAAAAATAATTATTATTTTTATACAATTGAAGATAAATATATATATATGAATAAATATTAAATAAACCTAAAATTTTATTAAATTGACCTACCCATCTTAACCATTATGGAAAAAAATAAAAATAAATAACCTCTAAATTTATTTTTTTACTATTAAATTTGTAACCAATAAAAAATAAATATATTTATTATAATTACCATATTCTTTATTATAATTAGTATCATAGTTGACTCTTTTTTTTTCTTGAATTTCTTACAAAATCTTAAATTTTTGTTTAAAAATGAGCAAGAGACATACCTCAAAACAATATCCTTATTACTTCCCTCATTTCCTTCTTAGTATCTATCTTATCTTGTCTATTGTCATCCATCTTGTCTATTTTGTCTATCTTGTCTTACATAGATTTATTTACTTGCACTTGAAGACATCTCTAAAGGAATTGTAAAAAAGTTGTATAAATGCATGTTGAGGGTTGTGCAAGAATAAGAAGGCAAATAGTTGATGTTGTGAGGTAGGTGGCAATGAGAGCTTGTAGGAGTGAAGGTAGAAAAATGGTATTGTAACACACATATAAATCTCATGTATTATTTTGTTTTGTAAAAGTGGTATGATGTTGGAGACTCTGGTGGTTGTTCATGGAATAGTTGGTAGAATGCCACTCTATTACAAATTATTGGATAAATTTTAAAATAATCAAGGTTAGATTAAGTCCCTTTTCAAAGAAGCTAAAGACAAGCAAATGCACTTGATGACCTTTGTAGAAGTGATATAGTATAAATGATGGAAGCTTACACTTGTTTTCAAAGACATGAATTATGAAGAATACACCACCATAAAGTAGAGTAGCTAAAATAAAGAATTAAACTAATTTGAATAGGATATGCATAATATTTGTTGACATCAAACTTTCACCAAGTTTATGGATAGAGGTTCTAAATACAATTAAAATCCTTGTTAATTTATCTCCTATAGGAGCCAATTCTAATATTATATTATATCAAAAAAATTATAATAAAAAATCTATTGTATCATTCTTTAGAATCTTTAGTTGTAAAAGCTTTATTTACAAAATTTAAAAATACTATGTTTTTAAACTATCTCTAAGAGCAACATAATATATATTAGTAGGATATAATAATGAATATAAAGCTTATAAATGCTATTATCTTAATATGAAGAAGATTTCAATTATAATAGATGTGATATTCAACAAAAATATCTTTTTTGCTCTAAAAAAAAAAACTTTCATTTTAGAAAGATACAATAGACTTCTAAAATATAATTCTTTTAGATCTAAAATTAATAAAAACAAATCTATACGTATCTAAAATATCTAATGTAATAATACTAATCACTTCTTTTTTAAATAATATTATCTTAGATCTTATTGACTTATCAATATTGGCTGAAAATTTAAGCGTGAATTTTAAGTCAAATACAAAACTTGAAGCTTTATTTATAACAAAAATTGAATCTTAAATTTTCACCACTATTACTAATTTTAAGAGAATAATACAAAAACCTTTGAAGTTTAGAGAATTAACAAATGTAGTCTAAACATATTGGCAAAGATATAAATTTCAAAGAACTAAAAGATCAATAAATTCTTGTATCACTCAAATAAATTAAAAAATCACTCAAAGATGGTATAATATTAAATTAAAATGGCTATTGCCAAAGACAAAAA